GGTTCCTGCCAAGCAGGCCGTTTCTGTCACTACAGACTCACAGACGCTTTTCCAGAACCTACCTCACTTGTCCAACTCAGTGTACAAGTCCAACCCTACGGTTGTTCACGTTGAAATCAACGACGCTGACTTTGGCATTGCTGCTGCCTTGACGGACTTGTCGTACCCTGTGTTTGTGTCCCACGGTGTTGCTCATGCTCATAATGTTGCACAGGCTGCCTATGCTGCCGCTTTTGCTGAGCAGAAGTTGGTTTTCCACTTGTACGTGCCTTCCAGCGCTACCGAGAAGCTCAAGGGTAAGACCGAGATTGCCACCAACTTGTCCTCGGTCGCTGAGGCTGCCTCCTTCTACGAGGTTTCTCCTTTCACAACCTTGAACAAGCTGTCCAAGGCCAAGGACGCTATCGTTGTTTTGGGCCTGCCTTCTGAAGAGTTTGTTGCCGCTGCTTCTAAACAACAAGCTCTCATATACCGTGTGGACGTCTACCAGCCATTCGATTTGAAGGCTCTTCTTTCTTCCATTCCAGCTGGCGTTGAGACCCTTACATTGGTGGAACAGACCAACAGATCTGCTTCTTTCTCCGCCTTGCTTTTAGACTTTTTCAAGAACTACTCCGCTTTGCAGTCTTTGAAAAACTTCACCAAGGTTGTCGGTGCCAAGCTTGGCCAGTACACTGACGCTACCAAGATTGTCGGTGAGCTTTTGAACAACACCAGATCTGAAGCGCCAAAGCAGAACGTTCTTTTCGGATCCGTCTCATCCACCGAGGAGGTCTCCCCTCAACTGGAGGAGGGTGCCAAGAAGGTCTACGCTTTGGAACAGGCCTACCTCAAGGTCTTGTCTCAAGTCAACGACAAGTCTCACATTTGGAACGATTTCTCCGCTCCATCTGTCGGTGGCTCCTCCAACCCAGAGTTCGGTTTTGGTTCTTTCTTGCATTACGAAGAGCAGCAAGCTGCATTGATCAACATTGTCTCTACAGCCATCCAGAAGAACAGTTTCGCTTCTTTGGACAACGAAAAGCTTATCGAGCTTTTAACACTGTGGTTGGTGCTCGTCAAGTCTGGTAAGCCATTCGAGAGCACTCAGGAAGTCGTTAAGCTCTTGAACACCGATACCTCCGGCACTTCTCAGCAGATTCTCAACCTTAAGGACTTCTTCGAGGTCAGACCAAACTGGTTGGTTGGTTCCGATGCTTGGTCGTACGACTTGGGTTCTTCCGGTGTCCACAGTGTCATTGCTTCCGGTAAGAACGTCAACATGTTGGTGATTGACTCTGAGCCATACTCCAACAAGAAGTTGGATCTCGTGCGTAAGAAGGACATTGGTTTGTACGCCATGAACTACGGTAACACCTATGTTGCATCCATCGCTATTTATTCTTCCTACACTCAGGTGTTGCAAGCTTTCATTGAGGCTGAGAAGTTCGACGGTCCTTCTGTTGTCTTGGCTTACTTGCCTTACGAGTCTGAGAACAGTGACATCTTGAGCATTCTTAAAGAGACCAAGCTTGCTGTTGACGCTGGCTACTGGCCCTTGTACAGATACGATCCTTCTATCGAGAAGGACGACGACAGATTCAAGCTCGACTCCTCCTCTTTGAGAAAGCAGTTGAGAGACTTCTTGGACAGAGAGAACAAGTTGACTCTTTTGGCCAAGAAGAACCCAGAGCTCCTGAGAAAATTGACTGCTTCCGCTAACAGCGAGGCCAAGAGACAGCAAACTCGCGTCGAAGACGAGTCCTTCAAGCAGTTGTTGCAGGGTTTGTCTGGTCCTCCATTGACTGTCGCTTTTGCTTCTGATGGTGGTAACGCCGAGGCTGTTTCCAAGAAGATCAACAGACAGGCTTTGGCCAGAGGCTTGAAGTCTACTGTCTTGTCTATGGATGATGTCTCAGTTGAGGACTTGGGTCTTGAGACCAACATCATCTTTGTCACATCCACTGCTGGTCAGGGTGAGTTCCCCAACAACGGTAAAGCCTTCTGGGATGGCTTGAAGCAGGCACAGGACTTGGACTTGACTTCCGTCAAGTTCTCTGTGTTCGGTTTAGGTGACTCGAAGTACTGGCCAAGAAAGGAAGACAAGCACTACTACAACAAGCCAGGTCAGGACTTGCACCTGAAGTTGAAGCTTTACGGTGCCGAGGAGCTCGCTGAGTTGGGTCTCGGTGATGACCAGGACCCTGATGGATTCAACACTGGTTACGAGGAGTGGTTGCCAAAGATCTGGAAGGCCTTGGGTGTTGATGGCGTCGAAGGTGTCGAAGAACCCAAGCCATTGACGAACGAGGACATGAAGATTGGCTCCGACTACTTGAGAGGTACCATCGCTGAGGGTCTTCGTGACGAGAGTACCGGTGCTATCTGTGCTGTCGACCAGCAGTTGACCAAGTTCCACGGTATCTACATGCAAGATGACCGTGATATCAGAGACGAAAGGAAACTGCAGGGCTTGGAGCCAGCTTACTCCTTCATGGTCCGTCTTAGATTGCCAGGTGGAGCTGCTGATCCTTCTCAGTACTTGAAGTTGGACGAGCTTGCTGACGAAAGAGGTAACGGTACCTTGAAGATCACCACCAGAGCTACTTTCCAGTTGCACGGTGTTGTCAAGCATGACTTGAAGCCTGCTATCAGAGGTATGAACTCTGCTCTCTTGGATACTTTGGCTGCTTGTGGTGACGTTAACAGAAACGTCATGGTGTCTGCTCTTCCGGGCAACGCCAAGGTCCACAGACAGGTTGCTCAGGCTGGTTCCGAGATTTCTGAGTACTTGTTGCCTTCCACCACTGCTTACCACGAGATCTGGTTAGAAGGTCCTGATGACGGCGACAAGCCAGGCTACCAGGAGGCTTGGGAGAACAAGAAGGGTGGTCCAAAGTTGAAGAAGACTATGGTTGCTGGTAACGCCTTGGTCGACCACGAGCCTCTTTACGGACCAACCTACTTGCCCAGAAAGTTCAAGATTGTCATCACTGTTCCACCTTACAACGACGTTGACGTCTATGCTCACGACATTGGTTTGATTGCCATTGTGGAGAACGACGAGGTTATCGGTTTCAACCTTCTCGCTGGTGGTGGTATGGGTTCTACTCACAACAACGTTAAGACCTATCCAAGAACTGGTTCTTTGTTCGGTTTCGTTCCAAGAGACAAGATCAACCAGGCCTGTGAGAAGGTTATGTTGGTGCAGAGAGACTTCGGTGACAGAACGAACAGAAAGCACGCTAGATTGAAGTACACCATTGACGACATGGGTGTTGAGGAGTTCAAGGCCAAGGTTGAGGAGTACTGGGGTGAGAAGTTCGAGGAGGCCAAGCCTTTCGAGATCAAGAGCAACATCGACTACTTTGGCTGGGTCAAGGACGAAGAGGGCTACAACCACTTTACCGCTTTCGTTGAGAACGGTAGAATCGAGGATACCCCAGAGTTGCCTCAGAAGACTGGTTTGAAGACCATCGCCCAGTGGTTGCTTGACAACAAGAAGTCCGGTGAATTCAGATTGACTGGTAACCAGCATATCGTTCTTTCGAGAATTGCTGACGAGGACTTGCCCAAGATCAAGGAGTTGCTTGCCAAGTACAGCTTGGACAACACCGATTTCTCTGGTTTGAGATTGTCCTCCTCTTCATGTGTGGCTTTGCCAACCTGTGGTTTGGCAATGGCTGAGTCTGAACGTTACTTGCCAGAGCTCATTGGCAAATTGGAGACTGCTCTTGAAGACTACGGTTTGAGACATGACTCTGTCGTCATGAGAATGACTGGTTGTCCTAACGGATGTGCCAGACCTTGGTTGGCTGAGGTTGCCCTTGTGGGTAAGGCCATGGGTGCCTACAACTTGATGTTGGGAGGTGGCCACCACGGTCAGAGATTGAACAAGATCTACAGATACTCCATCAAGGAGGATGAGATCATGGACATTTTGTTGCCATTGTTCAAGAAGTGGTCTTTGGAGAGACTCGACAATGAGCCATTTGGTGACTACTGTATTAGAACGGGTGTTATTGCGGAGACTACCGAGGGTAAGTACTTCCACGAGAACATCCCTGAAGAAGCCTAAGCTTCATCGGTGCTCGCACCATACTTATAGCAGCATATTTATTAATCTACATATTCGGTTTCATGTTCACGTAGTATTTTGTTGGGACTTGAGTTTTGGTATCGTTGGAGTCTCGTGACGCTCCATTTCAAGCACATCGGCGATTTTCAAGGGTTGAGCTGTCATGCTAACTTTTCGTAGTCTTCGTAGGACTGACTTTTCACAGCTTTTGCTGACTTTGTCTGCTTCTTTAGTGAGATAGTCTATGTGATTTGTTTTGATCGCCTTCAAGCTTCGTAGTAGCTCCGCCTTCTCGGCTTTGTTGAGTTCCAAAGGCATGTAAAAAGAATGTAGTACTGTTATCTTCAGATTGTACGCGGTGATATCAACACTTCACTGCACCACAGCGTGCATTGCCATATAAGGACATTTCATGATTTAAAACATCAATAGAAACAAATGCTATTCAGTAGGGTAAAGAAAAATAAAAACATGAGCAAAATGGATTACATTTATTAGAAAGTCATGCTAGAGGTATTCACTGATTTGTGATTTTCGCAGCCAATTGGTCGTCTGACACTCTTAGTGTCCAAAATCATCAAACCGGCAACTACAATTGAAACAATTTCTTTACTTTTATTACTTAACAAACATCCCTAAGAAAAAAAAAAAAAAAATGCTCCAGTCTCCCGAATTACTCTTGTCGATTGTTACAGTCTAAGGCTGTGTAAGACTACCAAACTTTAGAGCGAAAAGTGTCGGGATATATTTTTCTGGACGATTTTCACCTAATCAAACATCCAAACCCATCCAATTATTTTTAGCACAATCGAAATTATGGCACAGTTGGATATCACCTCCACTTCTTGACCCTCGCACGACTGTTGCCATCCATACTCAAGATCTCATACGTCTCTATCTACACCAATCAACCAAACAAAACACACACACACATCAGTCCACAATGGTTCTCGAGGCCACAATGATCGCAATCGATAACTCCGAGTACATGCGTAACGGAGATTATCTTACAACTCGTTACGATGCTCAACTTACCGCCACAGAGTTCATCTTTCAGAACAAGCTCAATTCCAATCCGGAGAATACTGTGGGATTGCTTTCATACGGAGGCTCAGGTCCACAGGTCTTGTCTACGCTAACAACAGATTTTGGTAAGATCTTGTCTGGAGCTCATGGTACCAAGATTGATGGAGAGAACCACTTCTCCAGCGGCATCCAGGTGGCTGCCTTAGCATTGAAGCATAGACAAAACAAGGTCCAGAGTCAACGAATCATTGTCTTCGTTGGCAGTCCTCTCAAAGAAACAGAGAAGGAATTGGAGAAGTTAGCGAAGAAGATGAAGAAGAACAACGTTGCGATTGACGTGATCAATTTCGGCGAGGAAGCCATCAACACAGCCAAATTGGAACGTTTCCATGCTGCAGTTAACAACCATGACAACTCTCACTTGGTGACCGTGCCTGCGGGCTCCCGTCTCTTGTACGAAGTGATCGCATCCTCTCCAATTTTGGTGGAGGACGGCTTCGACATGGAAGGCGCTTCCGGTGGCGAGTTCTTCGGCGGTATGGACCCTAACATGGATCCTGATTTGGCATTGGCATTGCGTCTTTCGTTGGAAGAAGAGAAGCTGAGACAGGAGCGTGAGGCAGCAGAGAAGAACAAGCAGCTGAGTAACTTAGACATGATAGACGAGGACGCCGAGTTCGAAAAGAAAGACGATAAGAAAGGTGACGATAAGCCTAGTGAAAACTAAGAAGTCGATGTTGCACCCGCATTTATGGGCTGAAAGGGTAATAATAGCTCTCGCAGGCACTGAGAGCTGCAAAAACCTGACTTGTCTATCTCAGCAATTGTTCTTGACAGGTTTTGCTGACGGTTCTAGAGAAACGTGGCACATGGATCAATATTAGATGCATTTACGGTTTCCCTATAGAGGTGTTGTCGTGAGACCTTCCCCGTGCACTTGCGTCTTTGGTAGTCATGAGTCATATCATAAACACGAAATGATGATCATATGAAGTTGTGGTCACTGTGTGGGTAGTCTACCTGGAATAGTCTCATTGTGCTCGAGGTATATAATCGCGTTTGACGGTCCACTCTCATCCTTTTTGTGAACCAGACCGAACAACAAATAAAAACCATACTGCTAAATAAGAAATGCCGGTACCTTTGTCAACTGTCAAGCCCTCGAAAAGTAGGAGGAGGGAGACCCGAGAGGAGAGAAAGTCCGCAAATAATGATCAACAGTTGTTGATAGCACCTTATGAAGTGGCCTCCACGAAGCCAATCGACCTCACTGTGTCACAATTCTTGGACATGTACTCCAAGGTATGTTTTATTTTGAAAATAATTTAAATCTATCTAACTGTTAGGGTAAGTGGAATTTATCCAAGGTGCCATGCCCGCCATGTTTCACGAACAAAGGGTTGATGGCAGCGCCAGAATGCTACTCTGAGAGAACCAGAACGGCTGAAGTCCAGTCGTATCTCAGCCTCAAGCATTGGGATGATCATGACCTTTTCAAGCCCATGTCATCAAGGCTTAGAAAGAAACATCAAATGACTGGATTCACAATCTCGTTGATCCACAAGTCAAAAGTTCTAGTCAAGCATGAGACAAGAATGAATTACCGAGAAATGCCACGGAATGTATCATTGGATTCCCATAGTCTTCTTTCCAAAGACTACTTCTACTTGTTAGACGCTAGCAAGGACTGGAGAACTGCCAACAGTCCTCTAGTGGTGGGGAGACCCAATATCCGGTTGTATTGTGGTGTCAGAATCATGAGTCCCAAAAACGAGCCTCTCGGAGTTATTTCAGTGTTCGACATTAATGCCAGGAAACAATTCCTGGAAGACATGATTCACGATCTTCATGTCGCTGCCCGTGAAGTCATGAAGATCTTGAACACCCCGTACGAAGAAATCCTCGAAGAAAGAAGGCAGTCTCTAGATTCAATTGCACCTCAAAAAGCAGCCAGTGATGTCGAAGAAGAGTTAAAGCAACTCTCGATCAAGTTGGGCAGGGCCACGAGTACAAATTGTGCAATGTCAGTATTTGAAAGGGATGGATCTGGAGCACCCTATTCGCAAAACCACCATTTTGTTCTGACCCTTGGCGACGACAACGAGGACATCATGCGTGGTTGCCTTGACAAAAAGCAGAGAAGAAGCTTGACAAAGATGCTCTATCGAGTGGGGTCGTTGACTCTGGCAGCAGATATGCTTTGTGAATCATTGGCTGCCAATCTTAAGGCTGAATTTGTCTTTATCGTCGAAATTAGATCAGCGGAGTTGTACTCGGTGTCTAGCGAGTACTTTCCCAAGGGCCACACCAAGATTGACGCAGAGCTGTTCAAGTATGCTAACAAGCTTGTCAAGAGCAAACGCATGATGGAAGAGACTGACCGAGTGCTGACAAGGGTTTTGGGAACCTTCGGCAACGGCTACCTGACTAGCAAGTCGGATCATGACCTTTTCATTAAGGCATTTTCCAGTGATTTTGGTCTCCATTATCTCAACCCACGCCGTTCTACCAGATTCAACAGTGGCTGCGTGCTACCATTCTACCGGTACAATTCGAAGTTGGTAAAGAAGTCAAGCAAGAACCCTAACTCACACACAGTTGATTTGTACTTGCGAGCAGGAGGTTACTTGGTTGGTGTTATGAACGAGTCGATTGAAAAGGGACAAATGCTGCAGGCCACTGTCTCCAAAATCTTCGACCACGCCAGCGTTCTTCGAAAGTTGTATATCACTTGATAGGCATCACATACCCATTTCACGCATAGCAGCAAGCTCTGCTTCGTAGTCATCCTCCAAATCCTCCTCGGGCGGAAACTCCTCGTCAAACGGATCTTTGGCCAGCGATTCTTGGATAGGGTTAGAAGGTCTCTCTGCTTCTAGGTCATTATCGTTGTCACCAACAAAAAGACCATTGGAATCTGAGTTGTTGACGTTCATGAAGCCCCAGTCTCCATCATCTTCTTCCAAGTCCAGGTTGTTGTTCTCCGTAGGTGCTGTTGGTTCTGGTCCAGTGTATAAATCATCGTTGTCAAGCTCTGTTGGTGGCTCTGGCTCATCTTCCCCTTCGACAATAATGCCCTTCTCGATCTTAAGCTTGCGAAGCTCGTTATCTAGTAGACTTCTTCTGTACTCCTTGATTCTGGCGGACTTGTATGTTCTTATCATACGAATGCAGTCATTGAAGTTGGCTCTGGGAAAGAAGCCATGGGCCCAGAACTGGTAAAACTGGATAACAGTGCCAAGATTGTCACACTCTGCCTCGACTTTGGCTCTCTTCGCGGCCAGCTTAGATTTTTCAGTCTTGAGTTTCTCTTGAAGCTTCTTGTCGTTTCGTTTGATTGTGCGGGAGAGCTTCTTGTAGTTCTTGGTTATCATCGGAAGACCCCTGGTTGGATTGAACATGAGTTCATCTGTGATTTTTGGAATCTTGGACACCCTGCCCAATTTCATGGGCTTGTCAAGCCCCAATGAATCCTCCTGTGCTTCCATGAGAAGAGTAGTAGAAACGCGTAAACAGAGCGCGATCACTGGTGGTATCTAGTACACGCCAGACGGACCCCTCAAAAACTCCCAATGCAAAATGAATCTTTGCTATTAGTTTTTGATTGTAGAAACATGGGTTGAAGGAGGGCAAATAGAGTAATTTGTCGAACTGCTTTTTGTTGAAAGTATGTAGATGGGGTAGATGATGCACCTAGGAATGGCTGCGAAATGTGAGGCTGCATTAGTGCCAAACAGTTACCTCCAGCTATATTAGCTAGTTGATACAAATATTAAATTACTTCTATTTGGAAAACCTTGACTCCCTACCTACATCGACGTGGCTAAATATAGACATCACAACAGACCGAGGGGCACCAAAAGGAACACCGTTGACATGGCAACCGTAGTAGCTTGTTTGGCCAACCAGTCCTTACTGTGAATATCTTCCCTTTAGTTCCCTACAGTATGAGGACTGGGGGCCACCCCTGGACCTTCAACATAGCCTCCCGACATGCTCCGTAAATCCGCCGTTCTCCACCGGAACCATGTAAATCCGTAACCGAAACTAAAAAATCAAGCCTCTTTTCTCGGCACCAAATCAAGTAGAAGTTCCTTCCTAAGAGGTCTCGCTTGGGGACTAGTCCGGAAAAATGCGCAAGAGCGCTGGCTTTGCAACCATTTTAGCGAGACAGGAAACGCATTCAAACGGCTCTAGACCATACCACGATGAAGCCGTGAAAAAATAACGAAAGTTGCTTCGAAAATTTGCAAGTATTATTGGTGAAAATGTAGCAGCATCAGTGATACTTGAATGAAAATAGTCTGCCATAAAAGTTGACTCGGCTCCTCGGTTGGAGCAGCCTCGGGATCGGCTCAATTAAGTCCGGAGCAGCCGTATATATATCCCTGGTTAGGATCCCTAAATTAATCCGGAGCTAGAACGGTTAAATCGTACCACATTCCGCTTTCTTCCGGCTGAAACAGCCGCCGAGCCGGCCACCAACACTCTGAAACATGGCGTTGCTGAATCTGCACCAAAACGGGTGTTTCGCAGCCAAGGTTATACCACAATCGAAGCACAATATAATACAGTACACGGCGCCGGTAGGCAACACGGAATTGATTGAGGGGCAGAAACACGACTTTTAAAATCACCGGGTCATCCCCTTGATACATCACTACATGCCCCAGTTAGCGTTTGGCCTGATCATCTCCAGAGCTTGTTCTGCACAGTCGCACTTATATACCAAGCCAAGAGACCCCGTCTTTCGTTAGTACCACCTTTTCTTCATGCTCTCGCAGTTGGCGTGGCCTTTACTGGTGCTACACTTGTGGTTCCCACTTCTACTATCGGCAAAGGCGCTCAGCCGACCTGCCGAAAACATCCAGTTTTTGCTCCATTACTGGCTCTGGTACTTGGGGCTCACACACGTCCAGTTCTACCTCCTGCTTGCTCCGTTCCAAGGGCTTGTGGACTTGGCCATTGCCGTTTTCAAGATATGGCTTTTCTACGGCCATGGTTGCATCTTGCTATCACGCTTCTACCTTCCAAAGGCGGCGTTTGCAACCACAAGTTGGTCCTCAGTGGTAGACATGGAGGCGGCATTTATAGACCCCGCTGTTCTGGCTTTTGTGGTTAGAAATCCCGTATTCCAGAGCACCATGTCAGTGCTCGAGAGGAGCGGAATCGCCCGCTTTGCCCTGTCCTTGTTTGCATTCAACCACGAGCTTTGCCGCCTGGTTCTGTGGCCCAAGAGACCCCTGTGTCTTCACCTCGGCGTCGATTTCTTCTGCTACATGGACCTGCCCCGCGAGCTAGCGCAGCGATTACAGCGGCTTGAAAGATTCATCTTTGGGCTCCGTTCGGCGGTTTCTCCAGCCGTCTCACCTTCACAGAAAGCATCTCGACTCACGACCAAAGTCGACTACAACGACCGCAATGAGTTCTACTCTCCCAAGCGGGAGTTTTCTCCTCGAGAAGTACACTCTCCAAACCGCTTGCATACCCTCAGTCCCACTTTCCCAGAGAATAACTCACCGCTAGTGAGGAAAACGAGACGGAAGCCACCGGAGGAAAGAAGAGTCCGCAGTGCAAGCGTGGGCAGTATTGACGACCTGGCGTTGCCATACCCGCTTGACACAGCTCCCGAACGGAGCGTCTCCGAGGTGATTTTCAACAACCGATAGATGCCATCCCATATACCCGGCAGAACCGGCCGTTTAAGACTCAGAACAGATCGATTGATAAGCTGACACATCAATTGAGCTGAGTCGCCAAACGGCTCTTGCCAGATTACATCCTCTATTCATTGTGTTATTTAGGTTGATTTATAGATATAGATTTCGCGTACAGACCTACACCTCTTTCGCAGCCATCGTATGTTCATACTCCATGTCACTCTGTGAGTACCTCCCTAGATTGGACTCGATCCTGGTGAAAATCCTGCTAGGTGATGATGTCGAGCCAACAATCACCGAAATTGCTTTCGTGAAAAGATGCCTTGTCGTGGTCACCAGAACCACGAAACACACTGTGAAGCTACCTGTGGAGAACAAGGATCACCTCAAGGATGCCAAAATCACACAGATCCTAGCCAAAGGCAGCATCCTTCTGCTACGTATATCGCTCAACAGACCGCAAGATCCTGCTTCATTCACGTCATTGTCGCTGTCGAAGACCCAAAAGTGGTCAGTCAGTGATCTAGTGAGAACCCCAAAAGACGCCAACAATGTCAACACATTTCTATTCCTTTGCGCCTACTGCAGTGCCACAGTTGTCGATTCTCGTGACAATAAATACGCCGATATGCCTCTGGAGTACTGGCACGAACTCATGGACTTTTGGCATTGCCATAAACCCCACCAGAAGCATCATGAGAATCACCTGAAAAACTACGGAGCTATAGTACCCAAGGACAACCACGTGTACATTGGCGCTTCGTACCTATTTTTGAAGAGAAACTCGAGTAGTTGTTTCAGCTGCAAGAGAAATCTCGGTGAATTGACCAATGATACCGCTAAGCTATACAAGTGGAACTTGAAGCTTCAGTATGGCGACACTACCGAGACATTCCCGCCGTATGCCTACTCCTATTACGCAATTCTAGATAGGATTAATTCCGGAGCTCTTAGAAAGCTACAAGTCCAGAGCGATAACGGATCAGTTCGCATATGGATCCTTAGTGTTGGACTTTCTGTCAGCTACGACAGTTACGTTCTTGATAAGGCGCTCAAAATATTGTACACAGATAAAACGGACTCAGAAACGGAGGTGCTTGATGTTCCGCTGGAAGTTTATGATAGTCTAATATTTGTTCTTAGGGAGTCTACGTCCTTGCTTCCCGAAAGTGAGCAGACAGTGCAGATGGATGAAGCCTTCAGGGTGGGCTTTCTCGCTCCAGAAATGATACCTTCATGATCAGACTTTGTTAGACTCGAGGATCTCCTTCACGGCCGGCACAACTTGCTTTCTGGATGCCTTGATGTTGACCTGGTTGAACACCTCAAAGTGACGATGTTTATTGACGTTTTCAACCTCTTGAGTAACGGGAGCCCCACCATAGACATCACCATTGAGCTCCAACGAGTCAGCGAACTTGGGTAAGCTCTGAAGCTTACTCTGCTTGGTGCTAAAGGCGAACTCTCTGGTGTATTCGTCGTTCTCTTTCTTTGTGTACGACGTGGTAATGATAACAATATCTAGCCCAAATTTACTCTCAATTTCATCCAATGTTTTAACAATATCATCAGCTGTAAACTTGTTGGTGATCCACTTGATCGATTTGCCCAAGGAGCTGAAGCCCACACTGACAGATTCACCGTGATTGGTGAAAGCAAACTGCTTGTAATCCTTACGCAAAATGTCATAGAAGGAGTACCCATCCAAGTCCTTCTTGGCTTTCTTGAGCTGCTTGAACAAAGCATCAATTGGAGAGTTATCAGCATCAAAGGCCTGAATCTCACCCAGAAGCAGCTTCTTGTACGCCGCAAATGCCTTCTCATCGTCGCCTTCTACCTTTTGTGTCATGTTGGTGGTATCAATAAGGAGGGGGCCCAAAAGGAGCCTGACAGCCTCATTCAGAACCAGTTCTGGCTGCTTCTCAGACCAGTAGTTGAAAACCATCAGTGAGCAAGACCCATTAGAGTGAATGATCCTGGGGTCAGCCAGATGGAAGGCGTCCTCGTCAGCATGGTGATCGATGATAGCCTTGACGTCAATTCGACCGGCTTTGTATAAGTCTATTAATTCCTCGCCCTGCAAGTTGCAGTGGTCCACGAGAACGAGGTCGACCTTCTTCGAATTGCCCTCCAGGTACGCCTTGAGGTCCTCTAAGAAATATAAATGCTTATCTTCAATACCATGGGAGTTAAGCAAAAGCTCAATGTCACGTCTTAGCCTCAATTCGTCCCGGGGAATGTTGACAAGAGGCAAGTATGGCTGGTGATCGGGATAGTGCTTGTTGTAGAAGAAAGCATATACAATGGCACTGATCACAGAATCCATATCAGCCAGCTGATTACCGGTTACAAACCGGAGGATTTGGGAACGGCCCGCCAAGGGCTTTACTTGCTCAAGAAATGCTTTGATGGACATGTGGGTTTTAAGTAGTACTGTATGTCTACATGCGAGCACTAGATGACTATATGATGATTGTACTGCGCAAAAAAGCGCTTACTTAGCGTAGTGGAACTTGATATCGAGCCACTGTCTCTTCTTGACTTCCTCAGCGGCCATGGCAAAGTGACCGTAGGTCATGGCTCTCATGTACCAAAGGAACCAAGCGGTGCCGATCACCACCGTGACGGTGGCACCAATGAGTCTGACCTTGTCGATGGCAGCTGGAGGCATGCCCTTCTTGTTGTGGGCGGTCTTGTTGGTACACAAGAACTCAACAGCACCACCAGTGAACAAGGCCGCAATGAGGTGGGCAGGAAGGTAGTGGTGCAAGAACTTTTGTCTGCCCATCAAGTAGAATGGGAAGTAGTGAGCAGCCCAACCAATGAAAAGGAAACCCAATGTGTTGTAAAGTCTTGATCTAGCCTGAGGCGTGATGATTTCGTGGGCTCTTCTTTGCGTGACGAGGTCAGCAAGAACAAAACCGACGTAGACAGCGAGGAATCCAACCTGGACCCAGAAACCAATAACATTACCGATGAAAAAGATCTGTCTTCTGTTCTCATTGTCATTCCAGAAAGACACACCGGAAACAGCAAGTGGCCAAGCGTCTGGCTGCGAGGCGAATGGATGCTCAGACGACAACTTGTTGTTGTGCACGAACATCAAGCCTTGGAGCTCCCACCATTTCTTCAAGAATGGCATGGTCTTCACCTTCTTAGGAGTGAAGTGATTTCTGGGGTCTTCTTCCTTCAAGTTGACAATGGTGTCGAAAGTCCAGGTGTTGTCCTTATCCTGAACCTTCTTGTTACCACTCACTTCTTGGTGCTCAAGAGCCCAGTCGGGCAACACTTCGTCGTCGTGAGTCCACATAGCGACCACAGTGTCGACGTGCACCACTCTCAATGGAGTAGCCTTGGTCTTGACGAGAGCTCTCTTGTTCTTGTTGTTAGCCTCAGCGTAACGCAAACGGAACAAAGTCTCGTTGTATCTTTTCTCAGCAACATCGTTGTGAACCACCACGAACTCCTCGTTCGTAGAAAGCAAGGGAGAAGCGACGTCGTGGGTCAACAAGTATCCACCAGTACCGATGTGTCTAAATCTAACCACATCGTTGGTGTAGACAGCTTGGTTGTTACCGACCTCCTTTGTTGGGATAATTTCCCACTGAGAGTTGACATCCTTGATCTCCTGGCCTTCCTGGTCGTAAACACAGGTCACTTGCTGCAAGTTCGAGGAGATTCTACCGTTCTCGTATCTCAATGGGTATGTGAGGTTGTGAGAGTGCAAGAAAGCCTCAGTTTCCTTGTGCTCAACAGTAAGAATGTCATGGTAGTGAACAGCCTTAGAGTACTTTGCCAATGGGGATTCTTCCAAAGTCTCTTGGAAGTCGGACGACATGAAAGCGTCACCTGGACCAGACTTGGTCAAAATGGCAAAGTGCAAGTAGAACCAGAACAAGTAGATGGTGAATGGGAACACGATCAAGGAGAAGAAACGGGCAAGGAAATGCTGAGCGAATTCCTCGAGCGTCAAACCCTTTTTGATGTCAAGGAGAATCCACAACTCATGGACCACAGCGATACCGATCGTGAAGTATGTGAAGACACCGACGTACTTGGTAGAGATAACACAAGACAAAGCAACACCGGTCGAAAGCAACCAGATCCACCACCACTTGGTGAATGGCTGGCGACGGTATGTGGAGAACTTACAGTAGGTGAACATGGTAAGTGCAACACTGAGGATCAAGGTAGCGTCCAAAAGGATCAATCTCGAGTCAATGATGTGAGCATTGTCGAACAAAACAAGTGCCGAAGACAAGATACATGCGGAAACGGTGAAACCAAGAGTCTTCATGGTCAAGAAGATGACAGGGACAACCAAGGTACCTTGGACGGCCAGGAGTGATCTGTAGGCCAAGTAGGGCACATTGTTCTCAACGTAGTTGTCACCAATGTTTTCGAACTTGAAGGCTCCATCATAACCCACTAACCAGCCGGCAAATGCAATAAGGAGCTTGGCGAATGGTGGATGCAAATCGAAAAAGTATGTTCTCTCGAGGTAGTAGGAAGCGAATTTTCCAAAGTGCACCTCGTCAAAAACCACCTTAGCTGGATGACTAAGGAGAGTGAATCTAACGGCGGCAGCAGCAGCAGTCAAGACAGCCATGGCAATCCAGTAAACATTGTCAGACTCCTTTCTGGTGCTGATCAAGGTCGTTTTCTCATCATTTTCAATGGAAGCGGCAACAGTCTCTGCCTGTGTAGGAGTGACAGAGCCAGTCTTCTTCCCTCTCTTTTTCAAATTCAGAGACATTGTCGGGAACAAGCTTCAAGAAGTGTCCTAGGCTGTGCTGTTGGAAATTTTTGGACAGGTGTGAGATTCACAATAAAGCCTTGTCACGTGTAAACCACTGCCGTGTTGATGGTCGCGACGTGGACGAGTAGGCGCTTCATGCCGTACATTTGCAGCCATTCTGATAAAGTAGAGTTTCAAAACCGAACGTTTTTCATCCAACTACATACGCTTGGACCGTTTTTGGTATCCACCACGACCCTTGATAATTGGGATTGACAGCGTTGTTGGCAGTCGGTAAACTGCCTGGGGCCTGGTGCTAGGCTGGACAAGTTGAGCCGACGCTGAGGACCTCATCAGACTGCCCGAACTTGATCTTGTTTCGAAGAAATCTTGCATGTTTCTGCTAGTTCGCTGATCTGGTATGCCATATTCGAGATTCCTGCTCTGTCTCGAGGGCACAGGAATATTTCTCGGTTTGACAGGGCTCGATTCAGACTCTTGCATATCTCTTCCTCCCGGTATCTTGATGGGTTTCGAGGTTGAAAGTTGCACAATCATGTTGTTCTTCTCTTCGATGGAGGTGGCATACTTCATGATCGTTGTATTGAGCTCTTGTATTCTCCTCTCGTAATGTCTCACTTGCTCACGAACAGCCCCACCTAGGTCAAGCTTCAAGCTTGCAACTTGTTTCTCGTATCCCCGAACTGTAAGATCCAATTTCTCCTCAAGGTCACGTATTTCTCGTTGGATTGTGTGATTTTGGGATCGAGCCATCTCCAATTCGGTGCGGAGATTTTGTAACTCTTCCTCATGTTCCGTTATGAACGGACTAGACGTTTCTGGGGTATGCGTGAATTCTCTGGTGATTGGAGGGGTGGCAGACTCGTTGGCATCAGCGGTTTGTTTAATTTTAAGACCTCGTAATTCTGCTTCAATCAGCTCAACAGACTGTTTACATGTATCGTAGTCGTTCTGCAACACCTCATTCTCGTCACGAGACTGTGTCAACGCAACAGTAACAGCTTCCAAACTCTTCTGTAGGTCCACCACTCTCTCTGAGAGCTTGGCTATCTCAGCTTGACTGTGCATGAGAGCTGCCTTACTGGATGATTGTAGTTCTTCCAATGACGAACGCAAATTTTCATTATTTTTAGTCTTCAGCTGTTCAGAAGGGCTCGAGGTAATAGCTTCAGCCAACTTTCTCGACAACTCACTCATCTGAGTCTTCAACTTGATGTAATTGAGCTTGTTTAAGTATTTCATGTAGATCGTGAACTCAAGTTCATTCTTACAGAGCAACAACTCTCTTTGGTAAAACTCAAGAGCTCCACCTTTTGAGGAAGATACTTCTTCATTATTCTTGCCCTTTAGCTGTTGATTTAATAGGGCGGATGCACTTTTTGATGTTGCTTGAAAGTTTCCTGTGGCAACCTGAGGGTTTTGGAGATCCTGCTGCACGGAGTTCCTTCTAGTGGTTGACATCTTGTAGAGCTTTTCATGCGCCGAAAAGAGATCCAGAACTCCACTGTCAGTCTCGGATGCAGTGAAGCTGTCGTTCTGTGAGGGCTTTGGAGATGCAGTTCCTGGACCAGATTTTGACAAACTGTAATCCACATTCTTGAATTTGATGCGAGGTTCATTAGGGGACTTATCAGAGAGGAGGCTGGAAGGAACAAGTGATGAGCGTCTGGGAGTTAACATATCATCCAGAGCAACATCAACTGAGCCTCTTTTAGAAGACTTATTGGAACTGACATTTGCACTCCAGTGAGATCCACTGCGCGTGTCTTTGGAAAATTGTGGACCAAGGTTTGAAGACGCTGCAGGTGAAATAATCAGTAATTCTTCCAACTTTTCGTAAAAATACTTGGGCAAAACAAACCTGTCTGGAAGCCATAACATGTATGTGGGATTAAGTCGGAGACTTCGGAGCATGATGTCATCTTCACTGATATCAACCCCCTCGTTATCTTTCAAGATCCATTTAAGCGGTGAATCTAGTTCTTCTTCTGCGGAAACTTGCTGTAAAAAGTTAGGATGTAATCTCATCTGTTCACAGAACTCTTTGGTACGGGAACTGATAATTTGCAAGATATCTGGATAATCATGGTATCGCTTTTCACTGAGGACCTTTGGCCGGTATTCGCTCCAGAATTGAAATGGGCTCCGACCGAACCTCATGAAGTTCATCGGGAAAAAGGCGTACAACAAAGTGGTATAGTACAGAAGGTTAAATTCGTCATTGTGATAAAGATGCGAGCTCATTGCAACCATTTCCAGATCAGGTTCAGCTATGATCCATTCCTCTTTTTCGACATGTGCCTTAGGCGTCATCTCTTTTGAATTTCCTTCCTTCGTTGGGCCCAGCCACAACAAAAGGCGTGTGTAAATGACGAGAAGGTCGGGTAGATAAGTAGCAATCTTATCGCAAAGCTTACCCATCAACATCACCATCAATGAAAGTGCACATGCGATAATGGTTTCGCTCTGATCGTTCAGTAGACAGACGAGAATGCTCTTGAACAAAGGCGTTTTGATTATCGCTTTGGAGTGGAAGGTATTCGAGGCAACAAACGAAGTTATCAAGCTGAGTGTCTTGAGTCGATTATCAACCAGATGGAAATAGGTATTGAGTAAACTGAAGTAGTCTTCTGAGTATCGCTGGCCGTATTCTCGTAGGGTAATAGCACAATTGGTCTCCATGAACCTGACTTTTTCGATATTTTCGTGAGTGTCTTCGTCCTTTGAGCTGGCATCTTTATACTTCAACCCTATGAGGCCGTATGCCTCTTGGTCAGTTCCCAAGTAGATCCGCAATATGTATCCCAGAACCATCCGTGCTATTGCGGCTCTTCGGTTTCTCAATTGAGGATCATCTGTGGGATATGTTTCAGCCAGAACCAGCCTGACAAACTCTCTTGCTTTACTGACGAAGGATATGTCGAATCCAGTGCTTTCAATTGCTGGTAGTAGATAGGTTGAAAGCCATACTTTGATCTCATCGGCGCTAAGCACTGGCAGTAGTCGAGTCAAGATATCTAGAAATAAGACCTCTTTGGAGATCTCCAGAGACTCATCAATGTATTTGCTGTGAATGGATCGTAGCTCGTTGTTAAGCTGCGATGAAAGCGATGAAAGCAGATTGTGCTTTTCCTTGTATGCATAAATGGAATCGTTCAAATCCTTAATATCCTGGGAAGGCGCTTTATCCCAGTTCTTATTATTGGACCAATTTTCAAATACTGAGGCGATGTTCCGTAGAAGTGACCTGGAAGACCCTGACATGGGTAACAGGGCATATAACGCTATAGATAAATAAGCTTCTTCCTATAGATAGCCGGGGCCTGATAGGTGCACGGGTGTAATATTGATGTCTGAAATATCTAAGGGGAAGGCAAGAATATCGTGCAACTTGATGTTTCAAAGTTCTTGGATATTGGGATAATCTATGATGTCTCGGAATTTGTTCGATTTTCCATCAATAATCTGGTATGGCCTTATCATCTGGATTGACGAACCCGTGCACCGCGCATATCAACTAGATATCAACCTTCTCGACACCTATAACCTTCATAAAGCATGGATATCTACACTCCAGAGTACGAATGTGACGATCTTGATCAGCTTCTAAGATCGATCCAGGAGCATCTTGACCGCAGTGATGTTTCTATACCTAGCTCACCCTCGAAAACTGAATTCATGACGTATGCATCAGCCTTGCCTGATCTTATATATGGGGTAGTCTCCCCAATTGCCAGGAAACCAATCAATTGTCACAGATACTTATGGGTCAAGACTCTAGAATTTGTCGTTGTGAGAGCAGGTGCATTGGTCAAGCTATATCGTGATGTACTGTTCCACTCTAGACCTGATAATGACATCAATCATGTGGTTCACGAATTGAAGGCCATTCTTAACAACTTGAGCTCATTTATAAAGTCTTTCCTAGGACAAGCCGAATCAGAGTTTCTTGAGATTGGCTCATCATACGGTGATGCTATTAGACAGAGCTTTGTTGCACTACTACGCGAAACGCTTGAGATGATAGTCAATGGCAAAGACATAGCTTACGACGAGGAGTGTATGGCCTCATTGGCGAGTACAATCGCTAATCTGGCGTCGTTCATCGATCAGAAAAAGTATAAAGACTTTGAGCAGAAGCTCATCAGCCAACGCGATATATTGCCTGTGATCGTGGACTTCTGTCGAGCATCATACACTATTGGGGCTCCAGAGAAAGTCGAGCCACTATTCGTCGGTGTGAGGCCAATTGTTTCCGAGAGGTTTCCCTTCAATCTCACCACACATCTTGATACTGATTTACCCTTGATCATGGACTTCTACAGATATGCTGGATTTTGTTTGGTGACATTGGCCGTGCTGGACCCCTCAGCCTCTCATATCAAGTCTGAGTACGCCGATCTAGCAAATAACTTTTTGGTCCCTCTCTTGACACTACCAAACTTATCGTTGAGCAACTATACCGCCAATGAACTTGCGGGTAATCCAGGCGTAATTGCCTCGTCGCTTCGCAGTGGACAGTACATTCAGGATAAAGAGAGAGAAGAAATTTCCTTCTTTTACGTCTTGAGCTATCTATTGCGGCTACGGAGGTTATCCACATTAGTTGAGCCCGTGCCCAGATTCAAAGCTGAAGTTCGGTATTTTGCCTCGTCCTTCGGCAGACGTATCTCGTCTGATTTAGATATACTGGCTTCGAGTCATCAATCGTATTCCAACTCGACAATCTCAATGCTAAGCTTGGAGCAGCGAGCTTCTACTGCAGCCCCTGCCGCGAATGCTAATACAATGAGCTCGATACTTTACGAGGGAACATACAAAGAGAAATTACATCTAGTGAAGATATTCTTCGAAACACTTTCCTCCCTCGGAACTCCACACCTGCCAGCTCTTTGCAAATTGATCCAGTTATTCAATTTCAAATCCGTTCCAGAAGGTTCATTATTGACAAGCTCGATGAGAAACCAAGATTTTCATCATTTATTGACCAACGTGGATATTGTGGCGTACCCTGGTAAGAAGCTATATGTGGAAGCGATCGAGAAAATTATAAGACTAGTGCAGATACTAACGCTCAAACATCTTCACACCACGCTTGGTCTTGATACCCAACCGAATGAGTTATTAACGCATCTTTTCAAAACGACGTATACGTTTGAACAGATTTCCGAAGTGCAAGATCATTTAAAAATTGATGAAAGTGGCAAACTTTATCGTTCGAATAATCTACAGAAAATGGAAGAGTCTGAAATTGCATCTCAGTTCGATATGATATCAGCCACAAGAGATCTTGAACAGGTTATGAGGTGAGCGCCCGCGTTTCAGCACGCACCAAAAATTAACGGTCCATAATCGATCGGTCCAATTTCTCGCCGATATGCGTCCTCGCGCTATAATCCGGCCTGTGACTGTTTCAGGTCACAAACACGAGTATTCCATATTATGCATCTAGCCGGTTTCCCACGGCTGGACCCTTGGGAGTTGGTTCCTGCAGGTTTTCCTACTACAAGGGCCGATGGCCGACCTCATTTGAGCGAAAAATACCGCACTCTCGGCCCGTATTAAAACGCTCATTCCTGCACAACTCCCCACAACAGGGCACACTACTTTTTGCACGGCTGGACATCTAGCATTGTTTCTCGCCAGGAACACGATGAAGATGCCTTTTTTTTCTGGGCTTGCTTTACTAAACCAAATGGGCAGATAACAAAGCAAACTGTAGGGCGCTTATGCCTATCTAGTGATGATATCCGGGCGTGCCGGTTGACGACCTCCTCATTTTTGAGGCGAGGCACTTCATGACATGCATATCGGCCTTGCTGCCACCGACCCGCATAGTCGCCAGATTAGCAGCCGGGCTTCTGAACGGAGGGCTCTATTATTTAAGAATGCCATTTCTGCCTTAAAATGATTTGTTCTTTTTTCCATTAACGGTTGAATCATTTCATAATCACAAATGAGTCAAACGTCAGAAGATACCTACTCGAGACATGAAGAAGATCTCAAAGCATATACACCAGAAGATGGTACCTCTAAGGAGGAAGATGTCATCAGAAGAATAGAAACCAGCACTGGCGTACAGCTGCTTGTTCATTCTCTTGGTAGTGGTATTAATGAATTAGGTCCTTTGGAAGAGCCTTACGATGTTAAAAGAGTCGAGACGCATCCTGACCCTAACACTACTTACCACGAAGCTGACGAATGGAAGTACCCAATTGACAAAGAAACACAAATGAGAATTGTTGAGTGGGTTGAAGGTGACAAACAAAATCCAAAGAATTTTGGTAAAGCCAGAAAGTGGGCCATTACTTTGGTTTTGGGATTCATTTGTTTTATTGTTGCATTCGGTTCTGCAGTTGTCACTGGTGATATGGAGGGCCCATCGGCATACTTTGGTGTTTCAGAAGAGGTTTACATTTTGGCTGCTGTGACTGTTTTCGTCCTTGGTTTTGGTTTTGGTCCTCTTGTGTTCGCTCCATTTTCTGAAGAATTGGGAAGACAGCCTATTTACCTTGTTACTTTGGGTGTTGCTCTCGTTTTCATCATCCCTTGTGCCGTCGCTAAAAACATCGGAACCATGATTGTTTGTCGTTTGATTGATGGTATTGCATTCTCTGCCCCAATGTGTCTTATTGGTGGCTCTTTGGCGGATATTTGGGACTCCCGTGAGAGAGGTAAAGCCATGGCTATCTTTTCAGCTGCTCCGTTCTTGGGTCCTTCAGTCGGTCCGGTGTTTGGTGGTCTTATCGGTGATTACGGTTCCACATGGAGATGGATTTACTGGACCTTCTTGATCTGTGGTGGCTTTGCCTACGTCGTCATGGTTATTTGTGTCCCCGAGACTCATCACCAGACTCTTCTCAGAAGAAGAGCCAAGAAGCTTAGAAAGTTGACCGGTGACGAATCTTACAGAGCCTTGAGTGAGCTTAAGATCAGAACAGTCAAGGAGAAGGTGAATGACTCTTTGCTCAGACCTTTCATTTTGCTTACCGAACTTATCGTTTTCCTTGTCACCATGTACATGGCCGTCATCTACGGTTTGCTTTACATGTTCTTCTTTGCCTACCCTGTTGTCTACATGGAGGGTAAGGGTTGGTCTGCCACCATGACTGGTGTCATGTTTCTTCCTATCGCTGGTGGCTGTATGGTCGCTACCCTTCTTGCACCACTTATCAACGCGGACTACATTAGAAAAGCCCAGCCTTATGTTGACAGGGGTGAGCTTCCTCCTCCAGAGTTAAGATTGAGACCTATGCTCATATCTTGTTGGTTTATCCCAGCCGGTTTATTCGCATTTGCATGGTCATCCTACCCACGCATCTCTTGGGCCGGTCCTGCTTTCAGTGGTTTCGGCTGTGGTTTTGGTTTCTTGTCCTTGTACAACCCTGCCAACAATTACATCGTCGACTCATACCAGCATTACGCTGCCAGTGCATTGGCCGCCAAAACTTTCGTGAGATCCTTGTGGGGTGCCTCCGTTCCCCTTTTTACAATTCAAATGTACCATAGATTGGGATACCAGTGGGCCTCGTCTTTGATGGCTTTCATTGCTTTGGCTTGTTGTCTCATTCCATACGCATTCTATTTCTGGGGTGCCAGAGTCAGAGAGTTCTCCAGATACGCTTACGCTGATACCAAGTAAGCTCATATTTATCATTTAATAATTAGAATAGATAAAAAAGTATAGTTACGTGTAGTACCTCGAAGCGGCTGACTCTGCTTCAAACAATGAGATCTCGGGAGTTGCGCCATTGTCTTGTAGCCAAGGCCTCTCCACATCACTAGCATGGACCAGAGTCATGATCATTGATACTTGTTATCTTCTGCAATCAATCCTAGGATTACACAACTCACATATATGAAACCTTCGACGCATACATCGATTGCTTTTCACCACGGTACATGATGCACTTGACATCTACAGTTTTTGAGCCTACGCAGCTGATGAATTTTCAAGGACTCACAAGGACTCCGATTCTTCGACACAGGAAGCAAAAGGTGGCTTATAATGAACCTGAAGTTAATTCTTTAAGGCCAAATCGAGATATACTGTCCTTTACAAGCTCCAAAAAGAAACAAGAAGTTCCACAAAGCAGCACATTTGAAATGGATGACTCTGATGCCCACATCGCAACAAGTACAGCTAGTGCAATTCCAGAAGATCTGCATGACTCTAAGGTAGGCTCTGACATTGCCACACGGGGTGCTCAATACTTACTATTGTTCGTTGCGTTCGCTTTTCTAATATCAATGGGTGTGTTGAAATACAGAGCTGCGAATAGGTCTACTGAAGCGGGGCAAACCGACCTCGAATTTATAATTATTCCTGCTGAGGAGTCAGATAGTAACGAGGAGGTTTATGAGGAAGATCGTCTTCTCAATACGAATAATTCGTCTCTACCGGATGAGGACACATTAACGGTAAACGATCTGTCAGGAGCGGAAGATGATGTTTCAGAAGATCGCCAAAATAGAGAGAATGAGGCATAATTGGGCAAAAAATGCTAAAATATGTGTAGTCAGGCTTAGGAGTGTATTTGAGACGCTAGTTGTGTATATGCAGGTCACTTAGCATTTGACTGTATTGAGTACCACTTAGCATGCCTGCATCGTATTTCTCACAGTTGGTTGCTTCACTAGCTCAGTAGGCAGAGCGTCAGTCTCATAATCTGAAGGTCGAGAGTTCGAACCTCCCGTGGAGCATCTACTTTTTTTGCCATATTTCTTTCACCACGTTCGTTGTTTATTACAAGAATTCATCTTTTCTACAAATTTAAAACGAGATGTCGTCTATTTCTTGGTCTTTTGCTTTTTGCTAGTGGTCTCAGCTTGATCTTCCGCTGGACGTTTAGCATTTTCCTCTGGATCTTCAACACCCTCGCTAGACTGTTGGTTGTCATTGGCGGTCTTGTTGTCGCTTCCATCTCCGTCCGAGTCTTTCTCGACTTGTGCATTCGTTTCCTCGTTCTTAGGTGTTGCGTTCTCACCGCCAACAGGACTATCTCTGTCTCCATTTTCCGGCAACTCCTCCGTTGCCTCCAAGGCTTGATCTTCAATGACTTTTTGCTGCTTCTTTCCTTCGTTATCAGACGTATCATCTTGAGTAGCTTGTGCTTGGAAAGATCTTTCAATCTCATCATCTACCGAGCTCTTCTTTATAATGCCGGCTCTTGGGCCAGTACGTCCAGGCAGTGGCGCTGTGATGGTAGATGGTCTGGAAAACAAACTCTGCTCACTAGCAGCTTGACTACCCTCTGCACCTTCCGGAGCTGGAGTGGTGTACCCTCCTTTGAGATCGCTGATCGTAGTAATTGTCGAAGAACTCAAGTCTCCCGCTGTAGAGGTAGTCGGTGGGGCTTGGGAAGTCACAGAACCTTGCTCCACATTATTCGAATTTTGTGCAGCCTGATTGTCTTGAGCACTTTGTGCGTTCTGCGTCGTTGGGTTAGCCTGTGTGGAATTCTGATCCAGCTGTAATTTCGGATCTGGGATTGCCGGAGCTGGCAACAAGGCGGGGGAACGATCTTCACCAATCTTGTTTAAAGTGGTGGTAGAGTTTTCAATCTCATGCGCTTTAATCTGCTGCTTCCTCTCGCTGATGTAGTCCCTTATAAATTCATTGAATAAGTCAGGCTGATCCTTGAGTGCGGATTCGACATCCCGTTTCATAGTGTTAACAAGGCCAGTTATGTATGGGAAGAGATCTCTTCTTGCCAATCTCTTGACCTTCGTCGATTCTTTTGGTGCGGCGTTTGGATCCTTGGGCTTGTCCTCCTTCTCACTCAACGCAAGCTTCTCAGTGAGGTCTTTGAATACCATCAAGTATACCGAACACAAGGTATCATCAATCAACGAAGTAGGACCGAAACCATTGTTGAGTTTTCTCATGTCATTGATAACATGTAAATAGCATATGTGCAGCTTCAAGCCGTCGGGAATACTTTTACCCTTCATCGCTTCGTTGAGCAGCTTGGCCTGGGTAACAAAGCTCTGGTAGGGTTTCATGAAAAGAAATTTCTCTGTTGAGCCATCCTCAACCTTTGCAATAACTCTGATAAGTTTGCAAATCGAGGAACAGATGTTTTCCCATGCAAAGTAGAGCTTGATCATGGTCGAATTTGCTCGTCTTAACTTTGGGAGCATGAGCACTAAGGATGCAAGGTCAAGTTCTCTGCGCAACAATTTGATGTAAAACTCGGTATACTGATACATGTACACAAAGTGCTTTCCGGGTCTTTCATGCTCTGGTTTCCACATTTGCAAGTAAGTCTTGTTTGTCGCCTTCAAGGTGAAAAATCTTGACATGATTTTCCTGGCCTCTTTAAAATCGTCAAACTCTTCATAGTAAATCATGGCCATTCTGTAACATTGCTTATGATACCAGCCTCTTTTGTCCAAGGAGTTGATGGTTTTGAAGCAGCCGATCAAAAGACGGTAGAGGTCCTCAGGCTTCTCAAGCACAGTCGTAGGCTTAACCTTCAAAAAGTCGTCACGTTTCAAATAATCCAAAGCCTGTACCAAAGTAATCTTGTCTGCCTTGAAGAATTTGTAGATCCACGAACATAAGGCATAAGACGGTTCTAAGAACGGGTCTGCCGCACTTCCTTGTATCCATGCAATTCTGCTGCTTTCCAGCATTGTGTCCAAAATCATGGTCGGGGGTTTGGACAATTTACTTTGAAGCTTAGCCAAATAATAGAAGGAGCTCCATTCTTCGTCATTCGACCTGATAGCAAGATGGAGACACTGTTGCATGAGCTTGAAACAAAATGAGTTCGTGAGAGTTGCTTGGTCGGCAACAGGTTGCAACATCGTTGTATGACGCTTCCTCACAAATTTAGCATTTCGTTGCGTCTTGAATGCTATCATGTCCAATGGAGCTCTATTGGCGTTATAAAGCTCCTTGACAAACGAGTTCATGAGCACACTGATCACTGGCTTATATTGCTCAGAGTCAGTGAGACCTTTTTGAGTAAGGATATTAATCGCCATGATATAACTCAAGAGCGACTGTCTCTGAAGATTTGCTGTAATAACCTTTCTCTCAATGATGTTCAACTTATCCGAGGTCCAGATCAAGTCGTCCTCCACAATGTAACCATAGGCTTGACCGAGAAGAATCCAAGACTCGACACGCTCACTACCGCAAATGAGATCATCCTTCAAGAGCTTGATGATTTTCGCTAGTTCGACTGTCCTGCTTTGTGCCGACTTTTTCCTAATCTTGTATGAGTTGAACATGAAGATTGCTTCCACAAAATACAACCCCATATTAGCAATGGTGTAGTCCCGTACTGGATTCTCAAAATACAAATCAACGAGACCGTAAAAGGCTCGCTTGATGAATCTCGAGTCTATGATTGTGTTTTGATAGAACATTTCGATCTTTGCATTATTCTGAACAAGAGTTTTATCAGAATCGAGATCTAGCTCCTTCAAAACTTCGAAGATATCATCAGCAACTTGCTTCATATCATTTCTCGGAACCTTCAATAGAGGGTTATGTCTGAAACATAATGGCAAAATAAATTTAGCGAGCTCAGTGGCACTTGCTTTTTCAAGAAGAGCATACCTTGTGGTACCATGGTCGGTGGGGAAAGTGTCCTTTATCTTGACTTTATAGTGGAATCTGCACGAGAGCAATTGTGAAAGTTCACGATCAGGTCTATCCTTGAGGACAACTAAGGTGTCTTCAGCAAGCTTGAGGAAGACTCCATTAGAAGAGTCACAAAGACGTCTGATGCCCAATTGGTTGTGGACGAGAAGAAGAAGATCCACAAGAGCTTGCTCGTCGCAATTTTCGCTCTTAAGTTGATTGATACCATAAACAAGAATAATCGTCACAGTTTCGATGCAGAAATCTTTCAAACGCTGGAAAGCTTTTTTAGATTTCAGCTCAACGGAAAACTTGGCACCTGTGATAAGAGCAGCTTCTTCGTGCAAGCTAAAGCAGTAAAAGAGCTCAAAGATTTGTGCAAGACTTTTAATGGTCTCCAATGAGTTTTGAGTGTCATTGATAGGAAGACGCCAATCATTAGCTGCCAAATGCTTGAGAAAGATGCGAAGATAACCACCAAAATAGTTGAGCGTATTAAGCAAGATTGTGGAACGATCACCCTTGATTTCGCAATATTTGCCCTTGAAATACGACAACATAAATTTGGCGTTTTGCTCAAAACCTCTCTGGAAGCTATCAAACAGTTTCGTGTCTTCGTAGTACAGAAAAAGAATGTTCCAAAGGCTCAACTTGAGGTCGATAGGACAGACATCGAGGAACTCACTGACACTAGAAAGAGATGACTTGTCTAAGTTTGCTCTGCCATGAATTACGGAGTTCACCAAACTGCCATCTGAGTCTCCTGAAGCGCCATTGTTGGTGTCTCCTTTGTCGATAAGTATGTTTTCGAGTAGCTCGATGGTTTCCTCGGCTCCACCAGTGGCTGATTTTTCACTCCAAAGAATTTTGGAGAAAATAGATAGGATCGAGGACGTCGTGGAGCGCCTTTCGTAATTTTCAGAATTAAGATTTCCAATCGATGTATAGTTTGGGTACGAAATGGATAAGTCAGGGAATTTCTTTAGAACTGGGTTGATGTGCTGAAGGTGAATGACCACAAACTTTTTCTCTTTCCAGGAGAAACTCTGAGAGGCAAGTAAGTAATTCATCAGCCAGATATACCGGCAAAACAAAACAGCATTTGCTTTCGATTCTGTCTCCCTTTGGTAGCCTTGAAGACGAGATGATTGAAGGATTTCACTCTGTGCTCGAAGGCGTTCTTCAAGATGCACTAAGTCCACAGATAGAGCATTCAAGTTCAGCTTTGCGGCCTTAGTTAAGCCTCCCTTAGTATCGTTTGCTAATACTTTGTCAATATGACCCTTTACGAAAATGTATGCATCCACGAACATCTCGAATATGCTCAAGCAGACTCTAAGATCGTCTAACGTTGAGTTGACTGAGGATAGCTTTCGGAAGGTTTCAGGTTCGAGCTGTATAACCCAGTCCCTCACATTATCGTATAGCGATGATGACCAAGAGTATGCAAGTATGCTTGGATTATCACCACCAAGTAGATGGTAAAGAATATTGGTCCTTGCATGTTTCGGAACGACGTCATTTCCACTCTTCTGCAAAAAGTCTCTGATGTAATCGTAATCCTCGACATCATCTAGTAGCTCCGCAATTGTATCCGAGTTGGAAGAGTTCAGATTACCGAAGTGGGTTAACACGTCCAAAAGTTTGAGTTTATCTGCATCAGCCTCGCTGTTGTTGACACCCGATTTTTTCGTGGAGAGGAGAAGCTCTGTGTGAATGTGAGGTTTCCATTCATTAAGTGTTTTCACGAAGTCAAGTACGAATGTTGGCGACTTTGATGTGAGATCAGCGTCCACGATATGACAAACAACATCATGTAGAATATCATCGTTCGTGTGAAATGCTGATTGCAACAGTGAATTGAGATGTTTGAAAAAGGCCACTGTCTCGAAATAGTGATGCCTCGTGAGTTGAACGTCGTCAAGTTCGAAGACGATGTTCTCTTCTTTGTTCAAACGTCTAGAAGAACGTTGCACAACTTTTTCTGGAACATTTTCGTTCGATGGCACTGGTGTCACTTCCTCTTCGACTTCTATAGGTTCCTCCTTCGGAGCCTCGTCTTCCTCCTTCACTTCTTCTACCTTGGGCTCAGGTGGAGCCTCCGGAAGCGGGGTTGATTCTTTCTCGGGGACTGGAAACGAGTAGCTAGTAGAGTCCAACATCGACTCCGACGCGACATAGGGATCCACAAACTTGGACAGTGAATATTTGAGATAGTCCACTTGCTTATCCTTATCCTGGGCGTGCTTGATGGCCTGGTTGAATGCCACTATCACATCCAGCCATGATGACTGAGGTTTGATGGTCACGTTTAAGCTTCGTTTCTGTAAACGTTTCTGCACCAGTGATCTGAAGTCCTCGCGGATGGGAGCCAAGAACGACAACTTCTGTTCCAATTCCGGGGTAATTGACTCATTAGAAAGACCACGTTTCTTGAAATCTTCCCAGACAGGTTTCACCCATTCGTTCATCGGAAGAACGCTGATGACGTCCTCACTCTCCTGGCCTAGCAGTAGGGTGTATTCTAGAGTGTATCTCGCTAGCTTCTTCAAGTCAAAGAACGTGAATAGATCATACAAGAGCCGTAGAAGACTTTCGTCAACTTCCAGGTAGACAAAGCAATTGACAAAGTCGTCTATCATCAGGTAAAATAGTTCATTGGTGAGCTCCTTGTGGGTGATCTCTTGGGCATCTGGAAGCGATTGATCTTTTTGAAGCACCTCCTCGATCAACGAGTCGCCGCTTTGAAGGATGTGGAAGTAAAGGAATCCTCTGTTTCTGAAGTATAGGTATCGTATGGTTTTGACGTTTTGAGACAAGTAGCTGAGCTCGTCTGGTCTTGTATTGAGACTGCCATTCTGCAAGCCCTTGACAAACTCTGTCTCTTCGTAATAATGATTGTAAATGACATCTTTCTTTTGAAGCTCCTTGTATTTGGCATATGCCTCGACGAATTGCTTCCTCTTTTGGAGCGTTATGGCTTCTTGAAATGTCTTGAATGCCGTTTCTATCTCAATCTCCCTTGTGTGGTTTTCCTCCAAGTCCTTTTTGGACGAGGCGTCATCCACAAAGTTCAATGGAGAAAAAGCAGACTAATGTTAGTATGGGCATTATATTGTACGATTCAAATTACCTTACCATTCTGGCTGGTTCGTAGTGTCCACTTGAGTCGCGCTAAGTGCACTAACGCCTTTTACTATGAGTAGGCGAGCATTCTACTGCTATGTCTGAAAAATATTATTTCGTTTCTCGTAATCTATAATTATCCTACACTTGCTTGTCGGGAGAATTCTCCGTGACTTCTTCGAAAGCGTCTTCAGAGTTCTCCGAACCAAAGCTCTCTTCTTTCTCGATGCACTTATGTGCCTTTTCTTCCTTGATGATTTTCCGGCCCCCTGTTAGGTACCATCCAATTTGACTGAGGAAAATACCGATTTCCATGGCCATCACGATAGCATATAACACCATCGACATAATGTCCATCGTCCCCACAACAATACTGATCAAGGAGAAAAGTGCACCAAAGGAGTCCATGGCAAGAAAGAAGAAGTTTATGCCAACAACTCTACCCTTTCGTTTGGCAAGCTCGAAATATGGCGGCACCAAGCCCAACGCTAGAAGAACAGATGCAATTATGCCAATCACAAGCATTGGCCACTCTTTGCCACGACGGTAGAGTGGACGTAGCCATAAAATGAGTCCCGTTTCTAAACCCACCGAAATGAGCACAAATGCTCCAACAACGAAAAGCACCTTTCGCCATGGGAGGGACACTGGGGGGTAGTATAATGTCTGTGTCCAAGAGACTGTGCAACAGAATGTAAAAAGTTGTGGCTGAATTCGTAACGGTATCAGTCCATCGATGCCAAAAAAGTATATGCTAAAGGGCACGCCACTCGCAGCCCAAAGAAACATCATTAGGGGTGGGAGCCCTGTGCAATCTTTCAGGCGAAAGTTTCGGATGATTTGTGGTACTAGCTGAATACACCATAGAATGGTTCCTATCGTACCCAAAACGTTGACGGCCACACCATCGCCCATTATTCCGTATTCTGTTTCGTCTGAGTCACCCTTTGAACGTGGATTTCAGAAAGACCCTTGGGAAGTACGGGTTCACGAATAAGAATACGGCGGATTCGGTGATATTTGTATCGTGAGCGTGGAGAAAGATAACGGCTAGAGATTGCGCTTTTAGTGCAGCACATGCAGCACCATCTGTGTAAACGCGCAAATCTATATGGGGCATGCAACCTTGACAGAAGTGTCATATTATCGTAAAATCTTGCCGAGACAGGGCACAGAATCCAGTAATTTATTCAGAATCACTGTATTCGAATCCCATTTCATCCTCTTCTTGTTGGATTTGTTCCTTTAGCTCCTCGTCCACGTCAGCATCCTCAAATGAAGATGTTTTGTTATCAGTGCTCGATAGTCTGACAGCATTTAACGCCAGATTATCAAGATCAGTTGCTTTTCTCACCGCCCCCATGTCTGTCTCTAAGTTTGGACTTGGTTCACCGAGGCTTGTACTATCTTTAGTAGGGGTGCAGTTGATCGCTTCATTTTGCGCTTTGCTGCCGAGTGCCGTGTCTTCGATTCCGTCATCAATAGATGAATCAACTTTTTCACCCTCCGGAATTACTGGGCTCGCTTCGAGACTTGAGATTGAGCTCAGGCTCTCTTTTTTGACACTGATATCATTTTCTTCTGAACTGTGGCCGTTGTCGTTCGTTGTATCAGGGAAAAAGCCTCCATTCTCAAGAGGATCGTTTTGTGGACTTTCTCCTGCCTGTGAATCAGCCTGTGCACTTTCAGAATCCATGGAGTTTTTGGGTTCCTCAGACATAAAAAATCCTCCTTCATCTTCACTCACCTCTTCCACCTTGGGCTCCATTTTGACGCTATGCATTGTATGTGGATCGTCTAACTCGGTGATAGAGGCGGATGGACTTACCTCATTTGGCAAGAAGCCTCCAAACTGATCGTCCTCCATCTCGTCAATTGTAGCCTCCTCGCCCCTCCTTTTTGTGAATCTCTCGCCTCGAGGTTGAGGTGCATTGTATTCGTCACCTCCAGATTCGCTCTCACTTCCCACACTGTAGTAACCTTCACCTTCGGAATTCTCATCCTGATCAACCTCCCCGTGCTGCTTGTTGAGTCGATCCATGATCATCAACTTCTTGAGGAAGAAGCTCCAGCCTCTCAAGGCTGTGAGCTCGACCTTTCTTCTCTTTTCATCTTCTTCGAGATCAATTAAGCCCTCCAAAATGAGATCAATAGCCTCTTTGTATTGAGCATCCACTAGAACACCCCCGACCCTTGCAGTAGGCGCTCTTTTGTTTTTTGAGTTTTTTTCTGTGAAATCAAATGCAACAATTGCTCGTGCATGGTCGATCTTGAGAAAGTCCCTCGCAGCCCTCTCGATCAACTTGATCGGAAGCTTCTCTGACACATGCACCAAATAACCGTTTTCAGGCATCATTGACGGAACAAAAATCTCGACATTGCCGTAAGCGTTCTTCGGTATTTCACCGTTAACAATTGGAGGCGCATGATAAAGTTGTGTCTGAAACTCCGCATAGAGCCTGACGAGACCATCTTCGTCTTCTTCCTCCATTTGAGCTAGTTGCTTTTCTTTGGTTTTGAGAGGTTGAGCTCCGATCTTGAGTACCCTTCCTCGGAGATACCAAGCTTTTGCGGTTCGAAGTCTGAAAACATGTGAGCGCTTGAAAATGGGTACCACGTTGTCTTTGTTCATGGGTCTGAATGTTCCACACTTGCTGCTATCGTCGTTGGGGTAAATCACCTCATCCTTACGCAATTGTGACTCCAAAGCATAAAGAGGATGGTTCTTGAAGTCTGTCATGTTGTTTGGAACACCTTCATACTGGTCTCTTAAAAGAAACTCATTCAGTTCTTTGATCTCCGGAAGTCCATAACTTTTGTGGCGGCGAACGGCTTTCACTACTCGTTCGAACCAATGTTCATCCTTGTCTGAGAGATAATCAATTCTCTTCTTCACTGTCTTTGCATTGTAGTATTGGGTGTACCGCCGTGTCACATCTCTCACATCACCAGTCTTGTCATAAGCAAAGACGTATAATGTTTGATATGTTGGATCCAGAGCAGCTGATTCGAACTTGCCCTTTTTACGCATGGGCATAACTTCAACTGATTTGTTGACAATCGGGTCCACTGTGAGCCATTTCTTCAGATACGGATTCCACACCTCAACCCAAAACACTGGATATTGTGCAATTGGAAAATTGAACTTTTTCTTCGATTTTTCTCGACGCTGGTTCTTTGTCTCAGCACCTCGAATGCCCAGCAAGAACTCCGCTTTGGCATCGGGAATGAACACCTCGTCAAACTCAGAGCCAGTCCTCTTTTTGAGAACAGGTTTTTCTTCCTTCACTTCCTCATCAGGAGTTTTTGCAGGGGTGATCGATCGGAAATCTGGTGGTTGCAAGGAAAAGACTAGTCTCGCATTGAGTCCATAGCCTCGTAGGAGACTCACAAATCCTTGTGCACCAAGATCTCTGGAGCCTCTAAATGCACAGATTGTTTGCCTAAAACGATCCTGATTGACATTATGCATTGTCAGCTCTTGCTTTATCAGAAGCTCTCCCCAATCTTTCCTCACTAGTCCCTGCGCCATTACCCGGAAACGCCAGTGTTTCACAAGCTTTTGAATGCCTTCCACAAAATGTCGTTGTTTCACAAAATCGATAAGCGAAGCGGCCGGATTAAAGTGGTTTTTGAGGCCCGGAGGGAAGTTCTCCACAAGCAATTCTTGTAGTGTCTTGTCATTGCACCACAAATTCCTCGTGGCTCCGTGTGCAAGCATAGTCATAAGGTACAATTGATGCACTAGCTTTCTTCTGTGGCGTTCTTGCTTGGGTACAGTGACGACCTTCTTCTTCTTGCCCTTAGTTTCCTCGTTTTTCTGCTCATTGATGGTGATCGTAATCGACTCTTCTGGCTTCAGCGGCTCGTCCAACATAGCTTCTATATCAACGTCCTCGAGGTCCTCGAAGTCATCGGAGCCTTCTTCCAGTTCAGACCCGTCATTTGCAGTAGTCGGGTTCGTTGGTGGAGGTGCCTCAGGAGCCTCTATGTCGACATCTTCAAATTCCATGGAGTCAGAGGAATCCTCAACTTCAAACATTTCAGTAATATCATCATTCTCCTCCGGTGGACTGACATGCCTTTTCCTCTTCTTCCTCTCCGGTTGCTGGGTACTTTTGCTAGACAAACTCTTCCTTAGAAGTGCCCTATGATTTGGATCTAGCGACATTGCCACAGCGATTTGCTACCCCTTTTATAGGTATTCGACTAATCGAATTGTCTGTTTGGTTCCTGGTGACTCACCTAGTGGCAAGTACTTGTGGGGTAGATTCGCAACCTCACAATGCGATGTTGATATCACCGGTTCTAGTGCGCATACTTTTTTCACTACTAGGCTTGATGGACCATGCTTAAGGCAGCACAAACTAAATGGCCAAGCTGCCGACTACGATCCTTTGACCTACGAGGTATAAGGTTTTCATCAAGCTACCTGCGTTTGGCCGATAGAGCCCATCGGCACTTATACAACTCAATGCAGACCGAGATGAAGAGATACAGAAACGGGAAACCCATCAAATTGAAGCCATATCTTCCCCATTTTTTTGTTTGGCTCCAGAAGGTGGATAATGCTGAGCTGGTGGTACTTGGAAATGCATATCTTCCGAACCCTTTCACAAAAGAAGCTGTGGTCGAAGTGGGTCTATTTCACCTACTAGTTGGTCTAAAAGGCACTTCCGTCGAGACTTGGGACTGGGAAAACCAAAAGAAACAGCTCGATGCACTTCAGAATCAAGTCAAGAAAAGCCTGGACTTTGAGTCCTTGGAAGATCCGCTTTTGTCTTATACTGTGGATACCTTGCTACGAGACTACCAGGTTGAAGGGATGCCACAAGTCCAAAAATCCTTGGTTACGCAAGCTGTCTCCATAATTGGATCGGCCGCCCCGGAAATCTACCAGGACTCACATTTGACAATCATTCCATGGCTCAAATGTCTTTTTGCATCCTCAGTGTCTGAGTCGTATAGACACATCGAACAAGCCAATTCCATCCCACCTTGCATCTATTCAGACATCTTACTACGAACGCCAATCTCAAGAAAAGAGCTTCATTTACAGCTTAATGTTTGGAACACCTTCACGACGGAAATAGGCCGCTACTACGACCTCAGAACATCTCATCTAACAACCATAATGTCCAACCTCAGCTACTACAGCGTGCATTACGACCATACATGTCTTTATGATCTCACCAAGCATAATTTACAGCATTTCAAGGCGACTAATCCAAATCGAAAGTACGCTCTTTTTAAGCCATCGCAGGTCAACAAGCTTCTCTGGACTTTGACCTCCATCCTTATGCATACCTTCCTGCCATCAAGCCAAACCTCAATGTCAGTCATCAGATCGCAAGAGCTTCTTGTGAAACACATCACACATGCCAACTTATCTCAACTAGGTTTCATGGCTGTTGTAATATCACTTCGGCAAGTGGCCGAGGAAAAAGCGCAGAAGCTCCTCAAGCATGCCAAACATCAATACCCAGACCCGTCGGTGGAAGTATACTTGGCCAACATTTATCTATCTACGACCCCAGAGGAGCTTTTGCACAATTTCAACGTCGCCATGTCACGGTATGAGACGTCAGCCTCTCTATGGCTTGCATTCATTACAAAAATCAACGAGTTCAGTCTCCTCACAGAACACCGCTCACTTAAAGTTCTTGATCAACTTCTCGAAAGGTCCAAAAAGCTCATCATCTCAAAGCAGATTATTCTTCTTCTTCTCCAGCCAATAAAGACGGTCCACGCCATGGAAGAATTCATTGGAAAGCTTCAAAAGGCAAACATGTTGCTGCAATATTTGGGTATCGTTCATAGCAAGTACCTTCAAATATTGTACCAGAATAGTGACGGAAAGTCACTACGGAAACCATATCTCAACAAGTTCAGCAGATCCTCGTCCAACATCGAATGTGCTCGTCTGTTGTACGCAAACATCGAGAGAAAGACCGTGTCCAATATAGGTGTGATGCTTGCTGGCGAGAGTTCCCATCAAGCAGAGAAACTTTACGATTTATACAGACAGGAACTCAATGCCACAGCTCCCGATGAGAACTGTTTGGTAGCGCTTCTCAGAGCGGCATCCAAGAAGTACTCTGACGATCACCGTCTCTGGTGGAACAGTCACCATGCCAGTCAGATTGCCGTTTACGAATTCAAGATCAATGTCAGTGATGCCTTTGATGATTCGAAAATAATGCCGTCAAACAAAACCTGGCAGCTCTACATCGGACTCCTCAGGGACTGTGACTACACGTCCGAGCTCTCGGAGATCATGCGCTGGTGGGAGCAATTGCATTTTGTTCCTGATAAGGATACACTTATGAAGCTACTTCAAGCTTTACCTGCGCCATTCGCTCAACGTCATGTGAAGCACTGGCGTAGCGTTCCAGATTCTGCCTCTAGTCTTCAAGACTGGCCATGGCCCACAGAAGAAGAACTACAAGATCAATTGTAAATAGAAACTTATAGATGTAAGAACTGCATGCATTGAAAAGGTGTAGCAAAGTGTCGATAATCCGGTAGCTCGGTTGAACGGGAATTCTGGGCACTGCCAGAGCTCATGTTGCACGATGAAAAGTGGGAATATTGGGAGAAATGTGTATAAAAAAAACCCATAGATTGCAGGGTTGACCCCTCAATTGTATTACTATCATTTTTAAATTTCCAAATTCTTTTCATATTCGTAAATTTCATGGGACCACTTCGATATAGGCTTTTCCGGTGCTCGGCATACACTACACAACACACAAAATTACCCACCACACGAAAACAAAATTGAATTTCTCAATTGACAAATTCTTCAAAAACACACCCTTCTATCCATTTTTCACCATTTTCAACGTTCAATAACGATCTACGTGGAGGCACCCTGGGTGTCACAGGCCGACCAATGATTTCCGAGAGTGGCCGGGGAGGCCGTTATATAAAGGTGGTTTTCCCCAGGAAAAAAAATGGATCCGTGCCCACCTTCAGGCTCAGTCCAAAAGTCCCCAAAAAAAAGATAGCAAAATGTTGAGACTTGCCAAATCAACGAACCTCACACGTTCCTTCGCCACTTCCGCCAACCTCATGAAGGCCTCTACGAGAATTGAAACCGACGCCTTTGGCGAGATCGAGGTGGACTCTTCCAAATACTACGGTGCTCAGACCGCCAGATCTAAGAAAAACTTTGACATTGGTGGTGTTGCTGCCCGTATGCCTGAGCCTGTTGTCAGAGCTTTCGGTGTGTTGAAGAAGTCCGCTGCCATTGTCAACGAGTCCTACGGTACTTTGGACCCAAAGATTGCCAAGGCTATCCAGCAGGCTGCTACTGAGGTCGCCGAGGGTAAATTGGATGACCACTTCCCCTTGGTTGTGTTCCAGACTGGTTCCGGTACTCAGTCCAACATGAACGCCAATGAGGTTATTTCTAACCGTGCCATTGAGATCTTGGGCGGTGAGTTGGGCTCCAAGAAGCCTGTTCACCCTAACGACCACTGTAACATGTCGCAGTCGTCCAACGACACCTTCCCAACTGTGATGCACATTGCTGCTGTCACCGAGATCTCCAAGCACTTGATCCCTGAGTTGACCCACTTGCGTGACTCTTTGCAGAAGAAGTCCGACGAGTTCAAGGACATCATCAAGATTGGTAGAACCCACTTGCAGGATGCTACCCCATTGACCTTGGGCCAGGAATTCTCCGGTTACGCCCAGCAGCTCTCCAACGGTATCGAGAGAGTTGAGGCCACTGTCCCAAGATTGTCTCTTTTGGCTCAGGGTGGTACCGCTGTCGGTACTGGTTTGAACACCAAGAAGGGCTGGGACTCCAGAATTGCTGAGGAGGTCACCAAGTTGACTGGCTTGCAGTTCAAGACCGCCCCTAACAAGTTCGAGGCTTTGGCTGCTCACGACGCCATTGTTGAGGCTTCTGGTGCTTTGAACACCGTCGCTGTTTCCTTGTACAAGATCGCCAATGACATCAGATACTTGGGTTCCGGTCCAAGATGTGGTTACGGCGAGTTGTCCTTGCCAGAGAACGAGCCAGGTTCGTCTATTATGCCTGGTAAGGTCAACCCTACCCAGAACGAGGCCTTGACCATGGTCGCTGCCCAGGTTATGGGTAACAACACTGCCATCACCTTCGCCGGTGCTTCTGGTCAGTTCGAGTTGAACGTTTTCAAGCCAGTCATGATCTCCAACTTGTTGAGCTCCATCAGGTTGATCGCTGACGGCTGCAGATCTTTCAGAACTAACTGTGTGGACGGTATCTCTGCCAACACCGACAAGATCGAGAAGGTGTTGCACGAATCCTTGATGTTGGTTACCGCCTTGAACCCTAAGATCGGTTACGACTCTGCTTCCAAGGTTGCCAAGAACGCCCACAAGAAGGGCTTGACCTTGAAGGAGTCCTGTCTCGAGTTGGGCGTTTTGTCTTCCGAGGAGTTCGACCAGTGGGTCAGACCAGAGAAGATGATTGGTCCTAAGGACTAAATATAGATTGTACAAAGTATTATCCTGAAGATAGCAGCTTTCAATGTAGACCCAGCCAAAGTGGTAGGTGTGTGCGCATATGCGCTTACAGGACCCTGTGCTCAATGTACAACTTCTGAACTTCACCGCAAACCTCCGAATACTACTTTTCATTATGGTTGATTATTCGTTATATTTTGTGACGGACCCCACAATGGTGCCCGAGGGCTCCACTTTTCTTGATCAGGTCAAGAAAGCCGTTGATAACGGTGCCACCATAGTGCAGCTCAGGGAAAAGAAGATCCTGACAGTTGACTTCGTGGAGAGAGCCAAGCAGGTTTTGGAAATCACCAAACCGAAAAACATTCCTTTGATCATCAATGACAGAATTGACGTGGCCTTGGCTGTTGACGCTGACGGAGTTCATGTTGGTCAAGACGACATGCCAGCTACCTTAGCGAGGAAACTTATCGGACCAGATAAGATCTTGGGTGTATCGTGTGGTAACGCTGAAGAGACAACCCAGGTTTGTGACGAAGGTGTGGTTGACTACGTTGGATTGGGAACTTTGTACCCTACAAACACCAAGGATGTAAAGAACGTCTGTGGACCAATTGGTATCCGCAAATCGTTGAAGGTGCTTCGAGACCACTCCAACAAGAAAGTGAAGTGTGTTGCCATCGGAGGCATCAATTCCACGAATGCAAGGAAAGTGATGTTCCAATGCGCCATTCCCGGTCGCCGAATTGACGGTGTCGCTGTGGTTTCTTGTATCATGGCTGCTCCAGACGCTGCTGCTGCAACGAAGCATCTCCACAACGAACTCCAGTCGCCTGTTCCTTGGTTAGACAATGTCGCTGCTTCCGCCGTTAAGGCCGAGGCAGAAAGTGCTTGGAAACAGTTCAGCCAGACCAAACCTTTGGTGCACCACATCACCAATAACGTGGTGAAGAACTACAGCGCCAACGTCACTTTGGCCATTGGCGCATCCCCCATCATGTCCGAGCTTGGTGAAGAATTTCATGAGTTTGCAAACTCTCCAGCTTCCGTGGGTCTCGTGGTGAATCTTGGTACGCCAAATGCTCAGCTCATGGAGGTGTTCCTTGAGGGTATCCGCCAGTACAACAAATACGGCAAGCCTGTGCTCTTTGATCCTGTTGCCGCCGGTGCTACAGCAGCCCGCTTAGAGGCCTCTCGTGTCCTTCTCAATGCCGGGCACTTCACTGTCATCAAGGGAAATGTCGGTGAGATTGGAGCCATGGCTAAATTGACTAGCTCGTACAGCACAACTTCGACAGAAAAGACCATGCAAGGCGTTGACTCAATTGCCAACATGGAGGAGGCTGACATTGTTGATCTCGGTAAGCATGTGGCTAGGGAATTCCAGACAGTGGTGGTGATCACAGGTGCTGTGGACTACATTATAGACGGTACTTTCTCGATGCTGAGGGAGGACGTACCTTGGGAAAAGGTCGAGGGCGGACACGAACTCATGGGTTCAATCACAGGTACCGGTTGCTCTCTAGGAAGTGTCATTTGTGCGTTCATCGCTGCTGGTGCTGATGGAGAGAATGGAGAGAAGTACAGCCCATTTTCTGCGGTTGTGAGTGCTGTAAAATTATACAAGAAGTGTGGCTTGGAGGCCGGTGAAAACGCAGAGGGACCTGGCAGCTTCATGTCCAGTTTCTTGAACCGGTTGTACCAGACCATGAAGTTCTGAGATGGTGGGTCTCTAGTTGCAGCCATTCGTATATAGGAATCAGACATTCTTTGCGCTGAAAAATTTGAGCATTCATGCTAATTTGAAAAAAATCGAAATCTAAGAAATTTTTATTGGTTTGACTCCGATCGGTATTCGGACCGTTTTCTGTCTTTCGGCGCACATGGCTTATCTAGTATCAAAGCGCGACCATGTGCCCCACAAACATCCTCATCTCATAATAAACATACCACACAACGACAAAATTACATTCACGGCTCATTTGAAAGTTTTCCATAATGGTAGTTCAGGGCCGGACAAAAGCAAAGACTCAGCCAAACAGGAAGTCTCCTGTGGCCAATATAACAAACATCAGCTCACTCAAACGGTTTCCTGATAAGGACTATGCTCTTGATCTACTTCACCAGCTTGCAGTAGCGGTGGCTCCTATTATCAACCATTACAACTTTAAAGTCGGGATGCTTTGTGAAATGTCGCCAAAGAGTCCGAATTTGCTAGGACTAAATGTGAACAAGGGCCAGAAGATATTGATCAGACTACGAACTCCATACAACGAGAAGCTGTTCTTCCCAATGTCGGATCTCATTGGAACGTTTCTTCATGAGCTCACACATAATGTCCACGGACCTCATGACAATAAATTCTATGCTTTGCTTGATGAGCTACGAAATAAGTACGAGACTGGTGCGTTCTCCTCTGGATCCTATGTCTGCGAGGAGAATAAACTTGGAGGGGCCTATGTGCCTCCTTGGCTGCTGAGTGTTACGGTTAGACAAAAACGACTCGATGCTGTCTCGAAGGTGAAGTACAAGTCCGAGTCGAGAAGACTAGGTGGACCTCTAAACGTACTGAGGCCTAAGGACTTGAAGGCTGCCATGGCTGATGCTGCCGAAAGACGACTCAAGGACTCTAAGTGGTGTGGTGGGGAAGTAAATGAAGAGGAGTTGGGGCTTGCTGGTCAAGACTCAGATACACCAGCGGAGAAGCTCAAAGAGTATAAGGAAGTTATTGACTTGACCAACGAAGGAGCTGACATTGAGCCAGTCACCGAACCAGAAGTGATTGTGATTGATGCTTGTGAGACAAAGAGCCGGTCCTCGTCTCCTGCGCTCTCTCTGTCTGTTTCAGACACAAGCTTCGAGGTGAAGTTCTCTCCAACCAAGAGCCCGTTCCCTTTCAACGGTGCCTTGCCATTCAGAAGAGTGCTGTTCTCGCTGAGTCCACCTTCTCTGTCTCCAGGAAAGCTCTTCATTGGAGAAAATGGCATCTACCCTAGGCTCAAGCTTGTGGCTGATATCGACTTCGGGCGAATTATCGAATGGACAGAAGTCAGTGAGGAGCGAGTGAAAGATACAAAGAAAAAGAACAAGGTGAGAAAGGCAAAGCTGAAGCCAGCTCCGAAGAGAAAGAGGAAAGAGGTAAAGTCAATTACATTTTCTGAGTTGCTAGCAGCGCAGACCAAGCCCCTGCCTCCTGCCACCCAAAAGTCTGTCTGACTGCTTCGATACTTGGAAAAGTTGTCTACCCAACATATTCAGAAACCTATCACCAAATCAATTTAGCTCCCGAACATACCCAAATTTTTGCCAAACTCGCAGAAGTGAGTGAGGTGCTGCAGCTCGTTTGCGTGTGCATCGTATATAGAGCCCTCGCGATTCATTCGCCTTGCCTATTATGGCCTATACTTACGAGAGACCTGGGATAAAGTTTTAAGGAAGGATTATTTACAATGGCAGCTCTAATAAGTCAATGGCCGTCACGTGGTACTTTGTCCTAGAAAGGCTCGGTCTTCCCAGGTGGGTATACAAAAGGAGGGGGCCGGGCGGTGAAGATCGCACACCAGAAAAAAACAGGTGAATCATATACTCATACCACCACCTACTCACCATGGCCAGCCCTTTACGCAAGGACTTGCACAAGGTTTCTCCCAGTGTCTCAGGCACTTCAACTCCAAACATGCAGAAGACGGACTCTGTGGTCAATCTCACAAAGCCATCGCTCTACGGCATTTACAACACTTCGTCACTGAGCTTGAATAAGGACAACGAAGAAGTGGAGGAGTACATCGAAGGTAGCAAGCTACACATCACTGCCAAAGATGCCCACCCAGAGAGCTCCCAATTGCATCCTAAGCCACATGTCACCAAGAGGACGCCGTTGCAGCTCGTGCTCTGGTTCATCACACGCTTGGCTATCGTTGCCTTTGCTGCATTTCTGTATAATCAGGTTACCCAGAAGATTCATCTTACACACGTTGACGGGACTGGCATTTTAATCAACCAGTACTTGGAGAAGTTTGTTGAGGCTTGGAAACTGTACCAGGCTTGGGTGCACAAGTACGATTTGGAGATTGTGGACCGCATTGTTGCTTGGTCGCTGGAGGGCTTCCTGTTGAGCATAGTCGTGCCTGTTCTTGACAAGGTGCTTCCTAGCTTCTCCAGGAGACTCCTCCTGTCCAACCCCAATCCATATCACAGAGGCAACTTGGCGAATGACTTGATTCGTTCTCTGATTACCTTTTTGGGTATTACCTACGCTATTAGACACATTGAGTGGAGCTCACTGCTTCAAATGGCAATGACATGGTCGCTTGTTAACCCTGCATTGTGGCTTTTGCTCGACGGAACGATCAACGGGTTCCTTGCATCCGCCACCGTTGCCTTTGTTGCATCCGCCATTATCTACTACCAGAATCAAGGTGTTGTTGTGTTGGATCAGAACAGTCTAATTACGATCTTCTTGTACGTGGGAAGCTTCTTTTTCTGTGGTGTCATCATTTTCGGCAAGTTAGGCCGCTTTTTGTTTGGACCAAAAGTCTAACGGACACTCTATAGCATATTCTCTGCTCAATTATAGCCCCAGCATTTAATAAACTTAATGGACATATTGATCTATTCACCAAAAGTTCCCTACTGGATGGTTGTGTATGGCCTGCATGTATCGCGGAGCCAATGAAAACCTTGTGAATAAAATACCCTCATAATCAAACCTTCACTACATCATGGCTGGCGGTCCCGTTCCCGTGTGGAAAAAATACACATCCAGACCAGTGGGCATCTGGGAGAAGATCAGACAAATTTTGGTCCTTGTGCCAAACAGATCTTCCGGTAACCCACTTCCTTCATTATACAGAGCCATTCCACCAGGCGCTAGAATCCAGGAAGCCAGAGAATACAAAGAGCCAGTGACCATTCCTGCCGGCGACGTCATTAAAAACCCATACTTCAAGCGTGATTACAGAAGAAACTACCCTCAGGTTCTTGGTTTCGACCAGACCAAGGTTTCTGGTTTGTTGACTTTGGGTTCTGCTGAGAAGCCCAGAATCTCCATCGGTGACAAGGGCTCCAAGGAGTTGGCTGCGTTTGGGCTGGACCAGATTGTCAGCTTGTCTACTACATTGAACACTGTCAAGCCAGACGTCATCAAGGGCGAGCTTTTGGGCACTCAAGGTGAGCCCATGGTAGCTCCTTCCTTGAACAAGTTCCACTGGACTATCATGAAGGAGCAAGTCCACGGCATGTACAACGATGACACCGATGTGTACCCATGTCGTTTGTTCACCGACTCTAAGACCGCTGAGAGAGCCTCTGCTGTCCACTAACTTTGCATATGTATTCTAGATCATCATGACGATAGAGAGATGTAGGCCGACTCAGGCACTCGTAGACTGAGAAGAGGGCTAATGTAGCCTAGATAGATGCCGAACCATGAAATGAGATATTTTTCTGTCGTCTCCGGGTGCAAGGACTCCATGAGTTCCTTGGTCTCGCATTGGTGTAACAACAACAAGGTTCGTTGTAGCACTGGGTGTATTTCAGGAATGCACTCTTCGATGTCAACCTTGAGACTTGGATTGTTGTCTTTAAGATGGTGTAAAATCGGCTCGAGATAGAATCTGCTGTACGATATCACGAACTCGAGGAATGCACCATTCAAGGTAAGGGAAATGTAACTGCACCATCGGCCATCATAGCTTTTTACGAAATTGGCACCAGCACAAACGCCTTCTGGCGCCGTGATATGCTCCACTGCTAGCTTATGGAAATTGGGAAGCGCTTTGTTAAATTCTGCTTCGTCTATCATGTTTGAATCATTTCATAATTATGTAGTAGTTGGTAAGATATCGCACAGGCTGCGAAACTTAGGCTGAATAATGTGAATCAACTGTGAGATTGAAAACTGACATCAATGGTATTGAAATTATTTCAAAACTGAATTGAAGGATCACTTTTCGTTGGGATTGAGTTTTGAAGTTCAACACATACTCTAGTCTCGTGTTCGCTTTGTACCGGGGGCGACGATGAATTCCGCTTTCAGAACGACCCAGTTCAAATTACTCTCATAACTATCATTTCATCTACAACTTCTTCGTGTTAGTTCTTGACTATATACTGGCCTATCCTATAAAGCAACTGGAAATCAATCTCCTATCCGTGATAACGTGATGCTGTGAAATACCCCCTGTCCCTACTGCTTCTTCTCCTCCTCCGAAGTGCTCTCGCTGAGCAAGTTCAGCTTGCCATTGAACAAGAAATTTGAGTTGGAGGCGCTGATGGAGTTACGGTTGTACATCTCCTTGACTTTCTCGGCGTTGGGGTGGGCCATAGGCACGGTGCCAGCAACTCCCGACTTACTGCCTCCCATCTGCTTTTGCATGGCATAGTCACCGCTGTCAAAGTACTTCTTGTCCTGGAACTTCGAAGACAATATCTGCTGCGTCGTGGGGAGCTTTCCGTACATCTTGTAGATTCGCAATTCTTGCGGCGACAACTTTGATAAGTCTATTCCCTGAGTGTTCTTGGGTGGGTCCAAAGGACCTTCATCTGAAGACATGATTATTGAACGTTTGAATGGGTGGTGAGTCCTGGTGGTTCATGACTATGGCTGAGTGGGCTAGCCATGGAGTGGGACAGGTGCTGTGCAGGTCTCAGCACGTGCATCACTCAGCAAGTTCCGAAATCCGTGCTCCTAGGATTCTAAAACGATGATTTTTAAAATTGTTAGGTTTGCTTCATGGTTTATGATTCTAAAAGTAGATAGCTTTGAGCAATTCAGTGTGTGGAAAGTGGATATTTTATTGCTTCGGTCGCACCCATTTCAGGTGTCCGTTGCGCACCAAAAGAGCTGGGGTAAGACTAGCCTGGGTACCAGCATGGGGCGACTTAGGTGCACAATGATGCTGGTCATTTAGCTTCTGGAAAGGCTTATTCTCAACGAAAGTGGTGTAAATGGATTGTTGCTTTAAGGATTTTCTTGGTAAGGGTCGAGGGTTCGTAGTCGGATTATGTGATGAAAGAGCTGTATCCTGGATCGTCTGCAATGCGCTAGTGGTGAATCTGGTGATCTACCTCCAAAGCTACAACCTCACTCAAGGCTTAACAAAAGAACATTTTGGCAATCTCAACTTTGGCACATGGAGAAGGCTTTGTATTGCACTGGTACCTTTATCAGCTAGAGTATTACTTTCTCGTTACCATGGTCAAATGCTCGGAGTGGACTTCTTAGTGAACTTTTGTGGAGCCCGTGAAGTGTTCGAGGCCCATTAGAAGATACGGAAACGTGCCAGCTAATAGAATCAAAAGGTCCACAAGGTACATGATGAACTCATATAGCTCAATTGGTATAGGGATGGGTCCCGGAAGTTTTGAAATCACCAAATGAAAGTCGACCGCGTCTTCCTCAACTTCTTTCACCGCGTAAAAGTCACCTTGTAAGTCTATTTTGATGTATATGTCGAAAGTGTCATTTTCAACCTCATCAAACTCTGAAGCCTTGATGTAAACCTGATCTAGACTGAAGTCAATTGGAAATGTAGCAGGCCAACATACCTTGACGTTGATTAGGTCATTAGAGTCGAATGTGCTGTCTTCGTAATTGTTGAGCTTCACGAAAAGTGTTCGCTGTGGCTTATTAACAAAGTCGTAAGGAACAGAGACCAAAGTTTCCTTCAAGCTGTAGTCTCGTATGCTTTGAATCGGATACTCGGTGAGTAGTAGCGTGGATGCATTAACCTCTCTCAATGGAGTAGGCAGGAAGGACCGCAGACAAAGGGGCACCTCATAAAATTTAGGTACCGTGAAGACGATTGTTTCGGTATTGGCTATGGCCTGGTTGACACATAGTAGGAGAAACGCTAGGAAGACCTGGTACATGTTGTGAGAAGATGCAAAATCCTGGATGCAGAGGTCGATGTATCGTGAATCATTTTCTATCTAAGTTATCGTAAACGAGTTTAAAAGTGAGGTTCTCGACCCTTTGGATTTTGGAAACCTGCTCTGAAATCGTATTTTCCGGGTCGAGGATTGTGGCATCAAAATGGAACCGTAGTGGTTTATGAAACCTACGCGAAACCAAAAGGTGCTTGATATGGAAGAGATTAGCGGACCAACCGGTGAGGGTGAGCGTTTCCAACTCGCTGAACGCGTCCAAGAGATTCTGTAGAACGTTCAGAAGAAGTATGCGTGGATTGTCCGAGGAATTGGAGAAGGCAATCGTGAGAGACCGGAGTGAGGACGAATGACCCGTGAGCGGCGTCTGTAGAAAGTCACGAAAACGCTCGGAAAAGACAAACACATTGTCATCTGAAAAGGACACGCTAAGTTCTGTAAGGGTATCGTGAACATTAAACTTGGTGAGCGTGAAAGGCCATTTCCACGTGCAATTATGGAGATTCAAGCGGTGCAACTTGGGCACGACGATTTCGTCCTCGCTGACAACAAAATGATAGTCATCAAGAGTAAGCAGTCTAAGTGAGGTGAAGTGTTGGACGTGAGCGAGGTCAAAAATCTTCCTGCTTTTGAGGGGCACATTGGAATACAACTCGAGATCTTTGATCTGGTCACACTTGTTGTAGCGTAGCCAATATGACGAGTTGGTGGAGTTGACTGCAACCCTGGTTAAGTTGGGATAATGTTTGGTTGAAAGAAGCTCGCCAAACGTGTTCTCCTTATACTCCTTCTGTGAGTCAGGCAGTATGACATTGATGCTCTTGATGCAGTGATTATATTTGTGGAGCACACATTCTTGAGAATCCTCTAAAAGCTGGTGCCAGGTAACCCCAACATATTCGAAAATATGTGGGATGAGTGCATCTCTATATTCTCTATTCAGAAGCAGAAGGCTTTTGAGATCCTCGGTGCTCACTGAACCCCATATCTGATAAAGCACACTATCAGGGAGATCTAACAAGGAAAGACTGGTGGATTCTAACTGGATTCGTTTCGAGCCCTCGGAGGCACTATCTAACGACCTCTTCATTTCAGATGCATTTCCTGATCATTCGCTTTGATGAAGTGCAAAAAAGGAGTAGTGGTAACAATCCAGGCCCGAGTTCGCACAGTCATCATAATCTAGCATCACATCCACACTACATCTGATCAATGCTTGACCCACGCTTGAAAAACAAATTCAAGATCATAGCGCTTATTTTGGCATTAGTGTTTCTGATCTTATACGTCGTCTTTAAGCGTCAGGAGCATCAGCCTGATAATGATTTCGAGTTACACTTCGCGTTTGAACCGGTGGAGCGATTCTCTTTGGAGAACGTAAAGTACAGCTGGGTTTTGGCTGCTGTTGTGGTGGTGGCATTGACCTTTGCTATCAGTTGATGTCATTGGTTTTTGGTGCTGCTTGGGTTAAGATTGTGTGTTTTGCTCCGTATAAGGCTTCATGTTCAAATCACCATGGCTACTTTCAGAGGTATTGGACAGCATCTCAAATTATCTTCGAGATACCTTTCTCCCTCGAGCAATTAGCCTTGAGAAAAAGGTCTTTCAAATCGAACTTCACGTCGTAATGGTAAGATGTTTGACAAACTCCGGTGCTGTTGGCTCAATAGAGAGCTTTGAATTTTGCGATAGTTTACGATGACCATTTAATTCAAGTTTGCCCAATGAAGATGAAATCGATAGCCTTGACATGTTCTAGAGTAAGCTCAGGGGCTTTTGGCGTTGTTGATTTTCCCCCCATATTCGGATGTCTGAGGTGCAACTGCCTATCAGGCTAAGTTAGTCGGCATTATGCATTCAATTCAATCTCGGCGTTCCTGTTACGCCACCGAGCCATTATCCTCGTGCCCTTCAAATTGACGAGAAGCCACGAGCACAAAGCACCGAGGCTACTATTGCCGCCTTGCTATTTAGGCTCTACGTACTTTAGCGCACCCCGCAAAGACGCTCACTCATTAACAAGCATATTCGATCTCCAAATGAAGACAATTTCTGTGACCGCCGTCCACCGTTCAGCAAATCTCTATTGTTCTGACTGACGTGCTCTTTATTGGGGGCTGTGATTGTAAGACATGCACGGCGCCTCAGGTGTCTCAAACTTCTCTCCTCGGGAAGCAATCTATTCCCGGTCTTACCCGATTCAGTCTCGAGGCAAATGCACTCAAAAGGGACCGAGGTACAAAGTTTTCAATTTTACTGTTTGTGGCTTTTTGTGCAAAAATTAATGTAACGTTGTAATGGGTGGCTGGTCGGTATCCTCCCTACCCTAGAGAGGCAGGGCTTATACCAGCAGGAGTGATACGCGGCTGGCGATAAGGAAGAAAAACATCAAGTATTCCTTTTCGGATAATTGGCTGTCGAAAGCTTCCGTCTGTTTTTAAAAGAAGTTTTGCCCATTTTTTTTCAAGACCTCTGAGGTTCACTTGCTATCTATAGCAGGACCCTCTCGCGCATCCTCACCAGACCAAAAGCGTTCCTTCACCTTCGTGAATAGCCTCCTACAAGAATCTCCACCCACTTTTTCACACCACACACACTGTACTTTTTAGCCTGCTTTTAGCCCCATGCGCTCACTCATCAAGGGCCACCGGCGCTCAGACTCGTCTACTTCAGAACCCCAAGTTGGGTATCCTGATTTAAACCCCAAGTCTCACCGCTACAATAAGACGCCTCAAGCGTCGCCTAAGGTCCCGTCGAATTCCCTGAATATGCCCCATATGACGCCTCCTCCGTACCCATACCTGGGCTCCCAGCTGACTTTGTCATCTCCCAAAAAGCTCTTGACTCCAATCAAGAAGATGTTCGGGCACCACTCCTCGAAGCATCATGCTCCTCTGAGTGGAGATATTCTTCATTCTGCACTAGCCTCAGAGGGTCCTCCTGCTTCAAAAAAGAGCCCAACCTTGCATTCTCCTAGATCCATGAGCAGTCTTAACGAACTCTCACCACGCCCGCATTGGGCCCTGCAACCCTCCTCAAGATCTCATGTTTCCCACGTCAGGCACCTGTCAACCTCATACTTGGAGAACCTGGCACGCTTTGCTCCACCTAATGTACTGCTACCCAATGGTTCTTTCGGTCTAGGGCAACCTTTCGAGAGTTCGTCCTCCCTTGAACTGACAGTTGAAGAGAGGGAGAAGATGCCCATAATATCAGATACCAAATTGGCACCTGTGGCTGACTCAGTGCATCATGGCGACAGTGACTCCAATTTGTCCATTGCCAAGTCTATCAATTTCCTGGCGAAGCAGGCTTCGTCTCAGGAAAACTTGGCAGACGGCTCCAGTAAGGTGGCTACGGATGACTTTTATCAGGATAACTCCAGTGACGAATCTGACAATTCCTCGCAGTTCTCTTTTGTCAAGGACATAAGAGGTGGCAGAAACACGTCGGTCAAGTACTACAAGACAAAGTCTTCGAAGAAGCAGCTTCCGGATGGAGTGAAACTGAATACATTCGATGTTGATGACTTTGGTTATGAAGATGACGGCTTGTCTGATTACGATTTTGAGAATAATGGTCTCGATGATGAGGAGGATGATGAAGAGTTTGAGGATAAGTATAGGGAGTTCACTGAGCCTGAATTCGAGGGTGGACATTTGAACAAGTATGAGGATATGTTGGATGAAAATGACATGCGCAGAGCCCTTCTGCCGCCGCCTCCGATTGTCCCAACGACGTCCTGTCTCCTTAATAGCAGCAGCTCCTTGTCCGAAGATATCGAAGTCGATGATAGAAAGGCTGACATGAGTGACTTGTATATCACTGCCAATCTGTCTCACAACTTCATGACACCCCACCCTGAGGATCCTACTTATGGGGATGATTTGTTGGAGTCTTACATGGAAAAGACGAAGCTGCCCAGTTCGGAGGTTCAGGCGACGCCACACCAAAGGCAACTCTCATTCTCGCATATTCCAGCATTTTCTGGCTCTGAAATGTCATCTCCGTTGATCAATGGAGTCACAATTGGTTTTGAGGGTCTAAAAGGTCGTCAAAGTGTCGTAGCAGGAAGAACAATTCCAGAGGTCCCTAGGTCTCCTCCTAATGAAAGAGCTGACAGGAGTATGGGTCTTGGCATTGGTGCACCCGCCGGAGACGAGCCCGAAGTGCCGAAGCGAAATCTGATCATGGACTTGTTAGGTGCTCTAGAAGGGGGTGGTGACCTTCCTTCTGAGTCAAAACCATCACCTGTCCAAGCTCGCAATTCCATTCAGGATATCCAACAACTTTTGGCCGACCTCGAATCCAGAAATGAGGAGCAGCCGAAGGAACAAGAGACCAGACGTGCACTGGTTGTAAACATGATGGATACCCTTGCCAATCTTGCAAAAACCCACGAAGCCGCCCCCGCCGAAGAAAAGAAGGAATTCAGGAGATCAGTTGCTGAAATGATGAATACTCTAGCTGCACTTGACCTTCAAAATGGGATTGCTGCGACGAAGGAGAGCGATGAAAGGGGATCGGAGCCTGTGGTTATGCCAAATCCAACCAAGGAGAAAAGGCATGGTTCACCTCGCTCTAACAGCTATCTAGAAGACAACTCTACTGAGAGCGGTCACCAATATCATCTTGATGAGGACATGTTATACGAGTGCAATCAGCTTCCAGAAGACTACGATTTTGAGCACTATCAGAATCAACTTTATGCCGAGAGTGTTTCTGAATTCTACCGGTCTAATTCTTATAACAAAAAGCCGAAGAAGTTGGTGCAAGAGAATCTGTTTAGGTCGAACAAGATTGATACTCCGCAAAGAACTGTTACTTTCTACAGAAGCAACAGCTTGGGCAACTCCGATAACTCAAACTCAGGTAGTTTGAGTCGAACAGGCACGGTCTATTCCGCGACATCTTTCACGTCTGGTGAAGAAGACCCATCGCCTGATATGGAGAGATTTCGGCAAAAATCACTCCCCTATGCATTAAACACCAACTTTCAGTTGAATGAAAAAAGCTCTGATTGTCTCAGCCACAAATCATTCAACCTCGAACCTATCACGGAGGGTGATAGCCCGCATGTGAAGTGACTGCTTCATCTACGTTAGACTAGCCTTGATTATCTATTCTTATGGAATGGTCTTCAGACTGATTATGATGCTGATTAAAGTCTTTGCTTCATGAATGATTCAAAGTCGTAATTTTCGGTGCCATTGTAGTCAAAGTAGTTGTTCCCTCTATTATAATTTCCGTTTGCAATGGGTTCACCACGGACACTGAGCTTTGGCGTCAGCTGAATTCTCTTGCTTTTAGACCTTTCTAGCATGCTGTTGTTGCGGAATTGTTCAAGGTTTGGCATGGTTGCCTTTCTGACCTGGCCGTCCCGCTTGCGAATGGCATCCTTCGACTTAACCTGAAAGCCAGTTTCAGATTTTGCCCAGCTCTCTTCGCTTGCTTGCGAGACGGACAGCCTCGTCGAGTTTTTTCTGATTGGCTTTCTTTGTCTGTCCCAATCATTCATGTATCGTGAATAAATACTCAGCAAATCATCCCTATCCTCACGAGCTGGCTTGGTTGTTGGTAGTTGTTCATCATCCTCCTCGACCAAAACAACTTCAACGGGCCGACCGTTTCTTTTTTCGATGATGGAGCGGTACGACATTGTCGAATCGTTCCTCTTTATCATGCAGACATTGTAGTCCTCCTTGGTTAAGTCAATTGTGATGCTATCAGTGTCAGTGGGAGCTGTAGATATCGTTTCACGAGCTGTCACCATAGAGTCTGAGAACTTCGACTGCGAGCTTCCGCTAATCTGCTGCGAATGTTCACTTGGAGGACGACCTTCTGTCTCAGGGTCAGAGCGTCTCGCACTTCTGTTGTAATAGTCGCTTTCGAAGTTGGTGTTGTAAAGGTTAGACTCCGGTTTCCTGCAAGATGAAGCATCTCTGAAATCAACCGCGTATTGAATCTTCTTTGGTGGTTCGGCCACAACAATGTTGAGGTTTTGGTCGTTCCCTTCGTCATTTTGACCTTCAGTAGCAGGCTCTGACACAGCCTTGGTTTGCTCCTTGCCCGGCACTGGTGGGGATGCTGAAGCCTGCTTGGGTGCTTGGAACGGCTCCGAGATCGACTTGGATGCCTTGTGTTTGTGAGGTTGCTTGCCACTGCTTATGCTGTTTTGAGGCGATGGTTCGTTGTAGAGATCTGCAAAATCAAAGTTGTACATCAGTCGGTGACGAGCATGACGGATGGGGGACTTTCTGCTAGCAATAGCACCAAGAGAGGCACTGGTTGGCATCAGCTTAGGAGGTGAGCTAAGTGGCTTGCTTGGCTTGAAGTTCGTCTTCTCAAAAGACGAATCCAGTTCGGAGCAAGAAGTATCCTTGTCTCCGTACATTTCACTGAAATGTTGCTTGGCAGCCAGGCTTGGGACTCCAAGTGGTTCAATATCAGAGGCATCTGCTTTTTCCAGACCGTCTGTTTTCACTTGTTGAAGATCATTGAAGCTCACGCCGTTGTGTCTGGTCTCCAGTAACTTATAGCTCAGAAGGCTATCGAGATCATCAAGGTTGGGAATCTCAATTTGCCTCGATGATCTGTTTGAGCGCTTTCTTGAGATGTTTGTGTTCATGATTCTCTGCTGTTCCAATCTCTTGCGGGCCTCCTCACTATTGGTGATGTTGGACATGTCGTTGGGGAAGCTGAAACCTCTGCCAACGCCACTGTTACCATCGTCAAGGGGGCTAGTGCTGTTATCTGTTTCCTCTTCTTCATTTTCTTCACTTCCCGTCACTTCAGGGTCAGAAACGGTCTGCTGCTCATCTCTGATGGAGACTGACGTTGCAGTGCTTGGCTTCTTGGTGATATTAAGCTCCCTTGGGATTTCAAAACGTTCTTCAAGACTGTCACCCTCCAATTCAAGTTCCTCAGGTGGGGGCGGTAGCTCCTTGCTGATATTCCTCGTGGACTTGCTCGTAACAGATTTGCTGGATAAAGAGGACCGTTCGGATGCTGAAGTAGAGTCACGAATGCTGAAGTCGACGCTCTTTTGAATTGAGTCCCAAGATGACAGACTCGAGGCAGACTTGGAAGATGTGATAGATGCGCCTCTGGTGGGGCCATTTGACTGAGCCGTGAGATTAGCCAAAGGTGCATTCATGCTGCGAGGAATTGAACGCAAGGATTCGTGGTTGAGGTTGAGAGCATCGCCCACGGAGCTGAATGAAGAAACAGAAGAGACTTTTGATTCGTCTGAGAAGCTTCTTTTGTAGATTTTGAGGTATGAGTCTTCACCGAGGTTGAGGTTATGGTGGTATGCATGGCTGTGTGGAAGCGATTTGGGCTCCTCTTGTGGGGCTTCCTCGACTGGTGTTTGGGGAAACATCTCGACTTTCTCGGGCTTTTTGCTGGCTGCAAATGGATCAGGCGTAGTGGGGAAGACGTCTATCTCTCCACGAGACAAGCGAGCATCTGGATGCCTACGAGGCGCTTCCGTGACGACACGAGTTTCAAGTTTTCTTGGAGCATTGAAGCTCGAGTCTGCGGAAGATTCATCAAGTTTCCGAGGTGATAGAATGGGAGCCGAGGTCGAGGTCGGAAGCAGAATTGGAGGCGGAGGCGGTGGGACCAAGTCCAAGTGTGGCTTGGAAACCGACACAGGCATTGGCAGCTGCAAGTCTGGTGGAGGTTTGCGCAGAGTGTTTCTGATTTTCTGGGAAGTGGGCGAAGTGGGCGTAGGAGGTTCCTCAGCTGGCCTGATTTTTGGTTGATCCTCAGAACTTCTGATTTTAGGCAACGTGGGCAATTTCTTCAGGCGCGTGCTTGACGCTCTGGAACTACCGGCGTTGGAGGCCTCTTCAATCATGCTGAGCTGGTCCAGGGGCATGGACTGGTGTTTCTGAGCAAAACGAGCCACCTTCTTGCGATTGCCCATGGTTGCTGGCGGTTTCTGAGGCGTAGCAGGTTTCAAGAAGGAGAGCTCCAGCTCAGACTCAGAAGACTCAGCTGGCTCGTAGCTTGTGCCCGTGAAAACAAGTCTTTTGGGGCTCCTCTGGGGCGAAGCAGGAAGAGCCTTTTCGGAAGGTTTCGTGCAAGGCGCCGACCTTCCCCTGGAAGGTTCTGGCGAAGGAGGAGCCAGTCTAGTGCTGAGCTTGGGAGGCATCTGCAATTTGAACGGGATGGGCAAAGCATAGTTGGCGCTGGATATATGGAGCTTTTTGGCAATGGGCAGTCTGGACAAGCGTCTTATTTGGTCAGGCAGAAGCAGGCCATTGGAGATTTTGGATGCAATGTCATCGTGGAAGGGGGCCAGCCCGTACAAAGCACCAACGTCCAAATGTGAAATTGGGCGTTGTTTTGTGGGCGAAGCCAGCCTTGCTCTTCGTTCCGGATGCTTGGGTCCAGGGTTCTGCAGCACATCGTCAGCAGACCACTGCTTGTGGAGCAAAGGCATGGTTGGTGGATGAGAAAAAAGACAGGCGACAAAGAAGGTTTTTTTACCCTTGCTTGATCATTGTGAATGTGGTTACCGTATGCGGCGACATAGGGCGTGTTTACAATGGGGCCGAAAAGAGTAAGCACATTGAACGTCAGCTGGGAGTTTTTCCTGAGGCGCATCCAGGGTCTCGTTCTGGAAACGGCCTCCCATTGGCCGACTTTGGGTAATTTTATTAGCTTTACGAGCATTTGTGTTTTACCTGGATGGGAATTTCACCCTGGGCTTATGCTTTCTTGTTTCGTGGAAACTCCTCCCCCTTGCACCCGGTGATCTCCTTCTACGCCGCTGCCTTCTCTGCGAATCTGTCTCAGCACCCCAACCATTGTTTCCAGTGTTCTCCAGAAAGCCGCCGGCTTGGCCATGTAGCGAAGTTTTGTTATGGAATGGTTGACGGCGCGAGGCGGTTACATAACCAGTTGCTAGTGCTTCAGTGGCCGCTGCACTCCTTGCTTGGCGATCGTCAAGAAGAGGTGTGGCTGATGGAGGCATTGAGGAGAGGTTGGATATAAAGGGAAGGAAGAATAAAAGAGAAGAAAAGTAATAAATTTGATCAGCTTGCCTTCGTTCTACTTACTCTTGCCTTAGCTTTATCTGGTAACACTTCGTGGCTATGGGCCAGCAGTGGTCGAGCAACTTTACCTTGCAAAGCCACTATGCTGTCTCGTTGTTCTGCTTCTCGATCTTCGGATCAATAGCGTACTCCGTCGTCAGATCGGAGCCGTGCCTAATAACGCAACCGGCTGCACCGTTCTGCAACTTTGCGAGGGCCTTATGTGGTTGAAGTGAAGGTACTTTTAGCCCCTGAGGAGCTTACTCCGCCATTGGTCGGATAGTTGCTGGAAAGAAGGCTTTGAAGACCGCTTGTGCTTTGTGGCCTAGCGCTTGCGCATTTTGTAGCGTTCTAGCCTCATGGGGCGTTGACTATGGTGGCCTTTGATCATATAGATGAGGTCTTTCAGCTGAAGAAGTCGAAACTGCGTTCTAGAAGTAAGCTTTTGTCTGTACTATTAGACTGTCCATCGTGGCAGATACCTCCACGTTGGGGAGATCTGGCTGACCACTGCATTTAGGTAGTAGCACAGACCTCCATTCTGGCCACTGCCAATCTAAACTACATATCCACCACTAAATGTTGAATTAATTTAACGGTGGAGTTCTTTTAGGCAAAAATACGACAAACTAGCTGTTCTCTCACTCTCGTAGCCCACCTTGGTGCACCCCTCCCGTGGTGCCCTCTTGTGGTCTCGCATTTTGCAGCCATTCCTAGAAACCTCCCTCTTCACAACCACCTTCTTCACCAAATATGCCTGTTTTGTCCAGCCCAATTAAAACAGAAACCTCTCCACGGCCCTTCAGCCCCAGTAACAACCCGTTTCTTACTAAGAGCCCAGCTCCCTACTCTAGGCCCGCCAGCAAGAGACTCATTCCCAGACTTGAGCCCGACGAGGTCTCTGCCAAGGTGGGATTGGCCTCTTTGCCTGTCCAGCATGAACGGATGTGCAACCGTAAAGGCGCAAAGTTCACCATGATATTGGCGGGCTGTAGCGGCACCGGTAAGTCTACGTTCCTCAACACCCTCTTTGGTGTGCCCTTGGACGAACACAAGGAGGAAACGTCGTCGATCTTCTTTGATATCAGGGAACGCAAGTACGAGCTCACGGAGGGCAACTTCGACTTGCAACTCACCACGGTGGATGTACCTGGCTTTGGCGCCAAAATGGATAACCAGTACTCCTGGATGCCCATTGTGAAGTACATCGACCACTACTTTAGGCGCTACATGCTCCAGGAGGAGCAGCCGGACAGAAGCAAGCTCGAGGATAATAGAGTTCATGTTTGTCTCTACTTCATCCAGCCTTCGAACACCTCGCTCTCTGCCTTGGACTTGGAGTCCATGAAGGAGATCTCAAAGCGGGTCAATTTGATCCCCGTCGTGGCCAGAAGCGACACTCTTAACAGAGACGAGCTTATGGAATTTAAAAACACCATCAACAAGACCTTGGCGGCCTTTGACATTGGTGTGTGTAAGTTCATCTCTGACCAGGAGGTTATCGACAAGATCCACCTGGTGTCGCCCTATGCCGTTGTGGGTTCCAACGCCACTTTCGAGAACAGCGAAGGTAAACTTGTCAGAGCAAGAAAATACCACTGGGGAATGGTGGAGATTGAAAACCCAGAGCATTGTGACTTTTTGGCTCTCAGAGAGATCCTCATGAGTGAGCATATGCTCGACTTGATTCAGTCCACAGAGGCACACTACAACGCCTACAGACGGTTGTGTTTGAGAGACCGTTTGGAGCGTGCTGCCGATAACGCATTTCGTCAACCTCCCTCTCTTGATGATGACGAGGACGGCTTAGCGTCGTATCTTCTCTACAAGAAATCGCTGCCGTGGAGCACCATTATGTCCCAGGATGACGTGGACGCTGAGGATGCCCAATTGAGCAATGAAGTAAGGAAAAATTTGGAAGAGTATGTCAGAAAGACGGAGCTCAGTATCAAAGAGTGGAGACAGAGTCTTGTTAGGAAACAAGCCGAGTTCAATGAAGATTTGAAGAGCATTCACATTCGGATCAGCGAATTGCGGAATGAGTGTCACAGATTGAAGAACGGCGGTTCCAAAGAGTCTGATCAGGATGCCGCAAGCCCAATCTTGAAAAATGAGTATTTGGGAGAGTAGCCCTAATAGCACTGTTTCGCAGCCACTGGTGTAGTAGTGTATGGAGTGTATTGAGGTGATGCTCTCGCTGGAAAATTTCTGATCTCTAGACATCTCTTTTTCTTAGGCTTTTCCCACAAGTTGAACATCCGCTTTGAAAGGATTGTCCGGGGATTTGTCTCAGAGGCTTGTCTCGACCAAAGGCATGGGAAAACAATAACCCAGTTGCCGCCCACTCTGCTGGCAGAGTATAAACATGAGGTATGTTCATTTCTTGGGCCACATCAGGATGAATCTTTTAATCAATGTATGTTTTTTCTGGCATCTCTAATGTTAGAGCTTCTGCTCAATGAATACAACCCTTGACAATTATCTGATGCCTTAGCAATGCTTTGGCGTGGCCTCCAACTTATTCTGGAGACAGCACTAACAAGCAGCGACTTTCAATAGCTCATGTTTAATACACAACATAAACGAAATTAATGAATGTAGCAGTAAAGTTGTAATTTTCTATTCTTCCGGGTCAGGTTTTGTTCCATGAAATCGTTGATCCACCTCTCAATGGTGTGCGCATAAAATTGTGAATCTTTGTCTCGTCTTACCCATGGATCCCACCACACCCACCAATAACGGACCTGAGGAAGAGTTCAAGACGGTAGAAGCCCCTCAATCGAGTCCCCCTCCTCCTCCTGTGAGGGTGGTGAATCTCGTCCTAGACCACTTTGCATTTGTCAGAGGCATTGGAAACGTCAAGAGATGGTTCAACAAGGAGTACACTGATAGCATCCTAGAGGACAAGAGTGATACAAGAGTCGTTCTCAACCTCTATATTCCCACTTACACTCTCCACGAGTTCGAGTTTGCCAAGAAGGGAACTACCATCACAGCTTCCTACGCCAGAGATGCACTCAAGCTTATCGACCAGGTTCTCGATCAAGAGCAGTCCGTGCCTTCTTTTGGTCCAGAGGATGGGGAGGCTGCCCCTGAGATACCCAAGTTCACATACAACTTGCTTCTTGAACAGCGGAATTCCAGCTATCCTTACTGGGACAGATGTCTCAAGTACCAGGTGCAGCCGCCTAAGGTGAAAGACTTTCCATATCATAAAACCAAGCTTGCCAATACTGTTTTGGGACGTCCGAAAGCCCCAGATGCTGAAGAGGAGAAAAAGGAAGCCGAAGAGTTGGCGTCAGTGCCTCCTCGTTTGAAGCATTTGATTCGCTCCTGCGTTTACAAGAAGTACATTGACCCATTCCACCCCGAGTTTGAGTTCAACAATGGTGCTCAATGGAAGTTGGTTACTGAAGATGCTGTGACAAAGGTCTGGTTGTCGAGCTTCGGTATCGACTGCTTGAATGTGAATGAGGCAGAGCTTCTCATATTCCAGTCTGACGATGTTACCGGGTTCAATCTTCAGGCACCAGGGGAGAATTTCAACTCGCAAAAAGACAGGTATGACGCTGTCGATCGGGGTATCTTGCATCAGTGGGTTGACACTACAAAATATGAGTATCTGAGTGTTGGTGGTGATAGACGCAGAAAACCAAAAGAGAAAAAGGCTAACGGCACCGAGAACGAAAGCAAAGCTCTTGGGCCCATTCATCCCGATGAGGTGAAGGAGGAGAAGTTCCACCAGATCAACTACGCTCCTCGCAGCAGACCAGCTGGAAGGAAGCTATACGTGCCAAAGAAGTGAGCCATGCATGAGCATATAAATAGGTACAATGGGGCTACTCATGGGCTTTTGGAAAGAAGCAACTTGGCCAACAAAATTGAAGTTATGATGCCTAGGAGGTCCTTAAGTTGAGACAGCTCTCGAAGTAATGTGGCCGGTTACTAAAGCTGCTGGTAAAGATGACAGTAAACCTCTGTTGCATGTATCATTAATATAAGAAAGTTGTCCTGACTGACTGAGGAAGTACCAGGTTCAAGCATGGCATTTTTGGTATTCATCGATTGTGTCGAAGTACCCATGTTGCTTGATGGTAGAAGGCTTTCGCAGCCATTACTATAGTTCAAAGGTCGGTACTCACCGGCTCAATTGTTGCCGTTGTTCTTTGTCTTTCTTATAAGCATCTCCGTTTAATTCATCCCTGACAAGTAATTGTCTTTAAGACTTCCTTCCATTTGTAAAATACAATTTGGCTATGATCTTAGATATTTGGGTAATCTCTCTACTAACTCCAATATGGTGCCAAATTGCGGAAATACTTAAATCCATGAATAAATTATACGCAACAACATTTTTTACTATTAAATTCCTTGAGACTATAAGATATCCCTTATAAGCAACATTTGAAGCTATTTCCCCTTTTTCGGAATCAAAATTGATATTTTGTGCAAGGTTCTACTAGTGCTGGCTGGAAATCACCTGCACCCAGATGTCATATCCAGCCTTGCCTCGCTTCACGAGCGGCGCACGACCAACAACAGAAAAAGTGAGGGTTGGTACAATACTAGTACTCGAGTTAAGCGTAACCGGTTATACTTCATCCATTGTTCCTCACCTCCAGAATCCTGAAAAAGAGAATTCTCAGGCTGAAGTATCGTTGCCATGAACAGACAGCCTACTAGGGAGGAAATCCAACGCTGTGTGCTGCGTTGGCACCAGCTAAAGAATCAGTATGGAGACCAGGCTCCGAATGTGCCTGAGTTCAACCAATTGCTGAAGATGATCCGGTTTTTCCAACAGCAGGCTATGCAGAGACACCAACAGCAGCAGCAACAACAACAGCAACAAAATGGCTTAAAGTCCAACGCTCAGTTACCACAGGGCCAACTGCCTCATCAGAACCAGCTCAACTTCAACAATATGGGCCAGCCGGGCAGCATGGCCAACAACAGCAATGCCAACATGAACCAAATGAACATGAACCAGATGAGAGGAATGGCTAATGGTAATCCGATGTCTCAAAACATGCAAGGCGTCAACAACCAACCATACATGCAGATGCAAGGTATGGCGCCAGGGTCCCGTGGCTCTGGATCCACCATGAACACGCCGGCAGTGGGCCACGCAAATGTACATCCTGGTGCTCAGATGTCAATGATGGCAGGCCCCAATTCACACTCTCCTGCCAACCAGTCGCCTCACGCCGCTATGGCCAATACTCCGTCGATGGGCCAGCCTTCTGGACAAGGTATGGTGCAATCGGGAATCGGCGGTGCCTTACCGGGAAGTGCAGGTGGACCTGGCGCCCAGGTTCAGGGTGTTCCTGGTAACACTGGGCTCCCACTGGGGCCAGGCGGGAACTTGGGTCCCCAAATGGGCAACAATGCTGTACCTGCCACTTCTCCTGGCGAGGGTCCCTTCACACCACAGCAGATCCAGCTACTTAAACTGCAGCACCAGATGGTAAAGTTGTTATTCCGCCCATCAAACAATGGATTCCCACCCATTCCACAAAACTTGGTTGACATGGCTAGCAACGAGAGACTTGCTTTCAACGGTGATCCTTCTCAGCAGCAGCAACAGCAGCAGCAACAGCAGCAGCCACAACAACAACAACAGCCTCAGGTCCCAAATCAGCAACAGCTTCACAATCAGCTCCGCAACCAACCTCCTATGGGCCATCCTCACCCAGCACAAAATAGACCTCAGCAGACCTCAGCGCAACAACTGCCTGCGGCGATTGGTGGTGCCGTTCCCGGCCTGGTGCCCTTCCACAGCCCCCAGCCAGGTATGCAGCAGCCTCCAACGCCTGGAAGCCGAAGAAGCACTCAGATACCTGCCCAGAACCAGCCACCAACTCAGGTACCACTGGTGTCTAATACTCCCAAGCCAGGAAGTACACCACAAGATAAACTGGACCCTAGAAGAAAAGGAAAGAGATCTGGTGGTAGCACACCACAAGTCTCACTGGCCCCACAACCCGCTGGTGCCGTTCCTATTCCCCGCCAACCAGAGCCTCCCGTGCCTTTTGAAGAGCTCAATTCCAACGAGGATCTTTCAAAGCAGCTCGTCGTGCCGATGAGTAAACCCAACCTCCAAGTGGATGCTTTTGAGATTCCTGAAATAGCCGGGCACGCGAAGGACGACATTCCGTTCAGCACGTTGTACACCGCTCAGAATAGAGTTAAATACCCATTCATAATGCCGAATGGAATCAACATGGATGAGATTGTTACCAATCGTGAATCTCACATAATGCTTCAAATCGACGCGCGTGCAACTCTGCTCCAGAAGAAGCTCGAGAACACTTCTGACGATATTGAAAAGCAAGACATATTGGTGGAGTTGGGTGAGCTTGAGCTTATACCTTACCAGAAGGAGATACGAGGAAAATTGCTTTCACAACTTTGGTTTAGCAAGTCACTTCTTCCCAACTCTCATCCCAACTTCCTCGCCAAATTTGGCAGTTTGACTCTCGAAAACGTTGTTGCAACCGAGGAGTTGTATAAACAACAACTTAATTCATTGGTACAAGCTCAAAACAAAAAGCACCAGACACAGGTGTCTAGAATTCTTGGATTTCATCAAAGCAACAGTGAGCGAATCGCAAACCGCAGAGAAAAACTTGAGCGCCTTTCCATTAGAATCAATAGTTTGCATGCTCAAACCGCGAAGGAAGAGCAGAAGAAGGTTGAAAGGATGGCCAAGCAGCGTTTGCAAGCTTTGAAGCTGAACGACGAGGAGGCTTATTTGAAATTGTTAGACCACACCAAGGATACAAGAATTACCCACTTATTGAACCAGACCAATCAATTTTTGGACAGTTTGGCCCAAGCAGTCCAGACACAACAGAAGGCGACTCAAAAGCGGATAAAGCCCAGCGCCGAAGAGGAAGAGGCAGAGAAGGAGGAGGGCGAAGAAGCCGCAGAGGAAAAGAGAGAGAAGGTGGACTACTACCACGTTGCTCATCGCGTCAAGGAGGAAGTCAGTTCACAACCAAGCATTTTGGTGGGTGGTACTTTGAAAGAATATCAGTTGAAGGGTTTGCAATGGATGGTGTCGTTGTACAATAACCACTTGAATGGTATTCTCGCCGATGAGATGGGTTTGGGTAAGACAATTCAAACAATTTCCTTGTTGACTTACTTGGTCGAGAAGAAGAATGTTCCTGGTCCATTTCTTGTCATTGTTCCACTTTCAACTTTGACCAACTGGAATCTCGAATTCGAAAAGTGGGCTCCAGCATTGAGAAAAATCACTTACAAGGGAACACCTGTGCAAAGAAAGGTGTTGCAACATGATGTTAGACTGGGTAATTTCCAAGTTCTCTTGACGACATTTGAGTACATCATAAAAGACAAGAGTCTCTTATCCAAGACCAGATGGGTCCACATGATTATTGATGAAGGTCACAGAATGAAGAACGCAAACTCGAAGTTGTCCGAGACATTGACTCAAAATTACCACAGTGATTACAGATTGATTTTGACAGGTACTCCCTTGCAAAATAACTTGCCAGAGCTTTGGGCCTTATTGAACTTTGTTCTTCCAAAGATTTTCAATTCTGTGAAATCTTTCGACGATTGGTTCAATACACCTTTTGCCAACACTGGTGGACAAGACAAGATCGAATTGAGCGAAGAAGAGACTCTTTTGGTCATCAGAAGATTGCATAAGGTCTTGAGACCATTCTTGTTGAGACGTCTTAAGAAGGATGTGGAAAAAGACTTGCCCAACAAGGTTGAAAAGGTTGTTAAGTGCAAGATGTCTTCCTTGCAATCCAAACTTTACAGAATGATGTTGAAGTACAATGCGCTTTTTGCGGGTGAATCAGTCACTGGCCAGAGACCCTCTACCATCAAGAACGCTAATAACCAACTTATGCAATTGAGAAAGATCTGCAACCATCCATTCGTTTATGAGGAGGTCGAGAATATTATCAACCCCAGATCAGAGACGAATGACATTATCTGGAGAGTAGCCGGAAAGTTTGAGCTTCTTGACAGAATCTTGCCCAAGTTCAAGCAAACAGGCCACAGAGTTTTGATCTTCTTTCAGATGACTCAAATTATGGATATCATGGAAGACTTTTTGAGACTCAGAGAAATGAAGTACATGAGATTGGATGGTGCAACCAAGTCAGATGATAGAACTGAGTTGTTAAGATTGTTTAATGCCCCAAACTCCGAATATTTCTGTTTCTTGCTTTCCACAAGAGCTGGTGGTTTAGGTTTGAACTTGCAGAGTGCTGATACCGTCATCATTTTCGACTCTGATTGGAACCCTCACCAAGATTTACAAGCCCAAGACAGAGCCCATAGAATTGGTCAGAAGAACGAAGTGAGGATCTTGAGATTGGTTACCGAAGACTCTATCGAGGAAATGATCTTGGAAAGAGCTGTTGCCAAGTTAGAAATCGACGGTAAGGTTATTCAAGCTGGTAAGTTCGATAACAAATCGACATCTGAAGAACAGGAGGCTTTGTTGCGTGCGCTTATGGAGAAGGAGGAAGAAAGACGACTGAAGGCCAACGAGGATGACGACGACATGGATGACGATGAGATGAATCAAGTCATTGCAAGAAACGAAGACGAGCTTACTGTTTTCAGGGAGATTGATGAGCAGAGAGCTCTCGACTTGAAGAAATCTGGCTACCCAAGTCGCCTCTTCTCGGACCAAGAACTTCCTGAGATCTACCAGAAAGATCCCGAGGTTTACTATAAGACTGACGAACAATTAATTGAGGAATACGGAAGAGGAAACCGTGAGAGGAAATCGATGAGATATGATGATAACATGACCGAAGAAGAATGGCTCAAGAAAATCGATGGCTATGCCTCTGACGAGTCTGATGATGACATTGTGCCTCGTAAAAAGGGCCGCCCAAGGAAGGATGATCGTAAAAGAGGTTTGGCCGATGGCGAGTCTGCCGCGAAGAGACCAAGATCGTCCACGCCAAGCAGCCGTACTAAGAAAGGAAAGATTGGCCGTCCTCGTTTAAAGGGTGCTTCCAATAGAACTACGCCTTCAATTGATCCTTTGTCGCCAGAGGATAGAGAGACTTTGCAGACACGAATGGCAGACATATACTCTGCACTCATTGACCTCACTACAGACGATCGGAAGTTGAGTGACATGTTTTTGGTCAAGCCTTCCAAGAAGCTTTACCCAGACTACTACGTTTTGATTAAACACCCACTCGCTCTTGATGCTGTCAAGAAGCGTATGAGCAATAAGACTTACACAGCCATCAGAGAGTTCCTTGAGGATATTCATTTGATCTTTAGCAACGCTAGGATCTACAATGAGGAGGGCTCCATTGTTTATCAAGACTCAGTTATGCTCGAGAATCTAGCAGTTGACAAGTTCAAGGAACTATTCTCCGATACTCCAGCAGAGGAGATTGAGAAAATCCTCGACTTCACCGAGTTTGATGAAACCAACAATCTCAAGCCACTCGCCATCAGCGGTTCCGCTGTTAAACAACCGATCAATGTCAAGCCTGTGGAGAATCTTGAAGACATTGATATGAAGCCTGAAACTCACGAGCCTCCTAAGATGGACCTGCCCACTAATATGTTTGATGATGCCCTCAAACCGGACGACCTTAATATCGATGACATCGGTGATCTTCTTCCCGGCGAAGATAATGGTGATACCGATCGTTACTTCGATATTCCCACTGACATGTAATATATTGGACATAATTCATAGATAAAAAGCGTCCTCAATAGTTCGTAATCATAGATCTGAGTACCTAGGCAACTCATCGTCGATGTGGGGGTTGTTGATTGCATCGTTGATAGCGTCATTGATTGCACCAGCGAAATCGTACATGCCACCATCCTTGAAGGTGATCAGACCCTTGAAGTACTCATTTTTGGGAAAACCGTCACATATACCATCTGGGGGGCTAAAGAACATGAACTCCCAATAGTTTGCTCCGAAAAGAGCAGATTTAAGCGCATGTGTGAACTTTAATTTTGGAAGCTGATTGAAGTTGATGCAAAACGTCTCGATATCACCTCGAGAGGCGTTTCCGGCCGTCAAGTATATAAGTCTTTGGTTGGTTACATATACTTGTCCCTCGGAGGCGTTGATGTTTATCTTCAAAGGCGCCAGCTTTGCTTGCAGCGCTATAGCCAATGCTTGTCGCCTAGCAGTAGTTTTGTATTTGATGATTTCTCCATCTTGGAGAATAGGTCCGTTTGGGGTGTGTTGAACTGTGTTCACTGACATTGTAGTAGTTGATAGTAAGTGCGATAAGACCTGCGTTGACTACAGTCCACTCGTCAGATGGATCTACGAAAATAAGGCAAAAACACCGTTTCAGTTGTCAGATTAAAGGAGATCCTTTGGTTGAGCTTGAGCTTGTCTATGTTGGAAATTTTGTATTTATTTGTTGAAATCTGGGGAAACCTCCTGCAAATAGTAGTGTAGTCTTAGTTCCCTCGATTTGCGATGAGGCACATCAGAGGATGTCAGTTCGTTCTTTCAACCCTGCATTGCAGGCACATTTCAAAGATTTTCCTCGTGCCCATTACCAGTATGGCTTTCGAAACGTCATCACACGTTCTGCTTGCCAACAGATCCTTGACAAACTCCGACTTAAGGAGAAGTACCCTAATTCAGAGGGCAGGCTAGATATCATAGACATATTCTCGGGTCATGGATTACTATCTACAATGATAAACTACGAATTGAAGCCAAAGAATCATCTTGTGATTGACCACAGCAAGGAGCCATGCCAGGTGTGGCAAGATAGAATTGAGTATCTCAAGAAGCATACCCAGAACAGAGAGAACTTCATATTCTCACCACTTAGTGGCTATTTCTGGTCCACCTACGACAAGCTTATAACAGAAGACAAGATTGTATCTCCATCATTCCAACCAAGATCAAAAATTCACGACGAGCTTCTAATAGTTGGAAACTTGACTTCATCGAAATATGGTGAACTGTTACTCGCTCAATGGCTCATGTGCGTTGGATTTCAAAATTGGCTTCAAAAGTATGGTAGAGTCAGGATGGTGATAACAGCGCCTGAAGAGACGGCCACAAAATTTCTCGCTGGACCACTGTACAAGAAGAGAAATAGAACAGCGATGAAAAGGGCGGTTCTTACGGATGCTCACTTGATTGCCGTAACCAAGCCCCAAACAGTCAGATCTGCTGGATTTGGTTACGACCCTCGTTTGCTTATAAAAGATCAACCAGCTTTGCTACCCAGTTCTGCCGTTGCACCTTCTACGTCCCGCTTGGCGGTGTTGGAATTTGTACCCAAGGACATTGATTATATTGATACCCAAGAACTCTCGTATGTGACGCAAGCATTGGCCCTTCGACTCAACACACTGGTCCTTGAAACCTTGTCGTTGATGGCTCCGGGGGCTGCGACTGATCTTGCACCACTCATACCGAAGGAAACACTTAAGAAAAACTTTAGGGAGATAACCGATGACGAAATTATGATGATATACAACGCGTATCATAATTGGGCATTTAAACCAAAATTTGAAGAAACACTCGTGACAGAATTGGACGAACCCGAGCACTAAACTCATCAGTTGTCCTCCATAGACTCCTTGAACAAGGAACGGTTGTTCTTTGGAGTCTCGCTCATCTCAAAGCTGCTGAAGTCAGTTGGAATACTTCTTCTGTCTTGGACTTTGGAGTCCTCAACATCTTCAGGCTTCTCAGCAATTGCATTCTTTGGACTCAGTTCCTTTTTTGACAAACCCGATGCATTCGAGCCAGTTTGACGCTCCAACTGGACTCCGTTAAAGTTAAACTCAGATCCGGTCAGGGGTTGCTCAGAGGGAATGCTCGAGGAATTACCATAATTCAGCTTAGTGCTTCTCAGATGTGTCAACGATCTGTACTTGATCAATGGAGCGCTCTTCTCCAGGGCTTTCTCATCCGAAGAAGTGTATCTCAGCAGCAGCTCATCTTGTGGCGAACCCTTGCCGTTGTCCTCCTTCTTGGTTGGACTATCGCCACCAGTATTCTCCGGCATGTTCCTAAGCACTTCACTATCGATCTGTTCCGGTTGACCTGAAGAGACCTCGTACCCATGGTTATTCGAAATGGCAAATCTCCTCAATCTACCACCGCTGCTGAGCAGACTCTCCGATTTCTTTTCTCCAGACGAGGCAGAGTTGATCATCTTGATTTCTGGTGCAAGCTTTGAGCCACTACCAAGAGTCAGATTACTGATGGAGCGTTGAGGCGTCGCTTCATTTTGCATCTCGGTCGTCGAAAGCTTGGTGTGCAACGTGTCTTGGTTACCCTCTCCTTGGCTGTCCGTCTTCAGCTTCTTCTCTTTTCCCAAATCGCCATAGCTGAATAAGAAAAGGATGGACGCCCCGATGATGAGTATATAGACAACAGTGGCAGCGGTGTTCGCAGCGAGAAGCAACAGCTTTGCAGTTGCATGAATGGAGATGCCAGAGGACATCATCGCCAAGTTCATGATAGCCATTAACGCAAGGGTTGTAGTGAATCCAATACGTGTGATGTTGTTTTCCATCACAGCATGACACCCGAGTGCAACAATTGCCAAGGAGAAAGTGAGGATGAAGCCGAACCTAAAGCCTTTGTGTATAATCAACTTATCTGTCAAACTTTGCAGTTGATCTCCGTTGTAGCCAAAGATATCGATGCCGTTTCTCACGAGAAGAGTCACATTTGCGTTTGACGGATGATCACGAGAATACTCGACCAAACTGTTGGCTTTCTTCAACTTCATCCCTCTCGTGGTTTGAAAGGTTGCACCGTCAACACTTTCCAAATACTTGGAGTCTTCAGCAACTCCATGGCGGTAGGTGACCATGACTGAGTTGTACCCTACCTTGACCCTTGGCACGACAAAGACTACCCGAGAGTTTTCCTCCAAGTATTTGTCCAAGTGCTGGTAATAGATATCGGAAACAAGGTTGGTAAACTCATTCAGGGTGGAGTTGCTTTCGGAAATGCTGAGAAGATAACGGGGCACGTCAATAGGGCCGAACTCACAGTGGAGTAGAGGAAGACTGATAACGATACCAGCCATGATGGAGAGAATGGTGAGCATACAAACATGAGGCTGAAGCCAGCGAATTTTATCCTTGAAGTTGGTTTTATCAAAATTGAACTTCATGGTGGAAAGAAGAGTGGTTGTTGTGGTCAAGTTTTTACAGCTACTCGCACGGTATTTATACGCGTCTGTTTCAGTGATCGAATGTCGTATATGAGAAACTTATAGGAAACCAATCCGATCCTTAGTTGTCACCTGGAAGATCAGGTAGATTATTAAAGAGCTCAACCAACTTTGAGCTGTTGAAGATATGCTCACCAGGGGGCCCGAAGTATCCAGCATTGGGCAAAACCTGGAGAAGGCTGTATATGGTGTTACCGACAAAACCAAACTGGTTCTCTGGCTGGCCAACCTGAGTACTGTTGATTTGTCCCTGGCCAACGATAGAGCTGTTACCGGCGCTGCCAGACGCAGATTCAGGCGAGTAGTTGTCTTCAGATGCGGACAACTTCCGACGCTTCCTTCCTTTGCGGGACTTTTTGGTTTGTTCCTCTTCCTCTTCGTCCTCAGAGTCCAGCTTCAACTCAGCACATAAGTCGTACTTGGCAATGGCATCCAACGCGGACCCTCTGTAACGATCAATGAACAAACTCAACTCGTCATCATCAGGGAACAACTGCAAGTACCGACTTTCAAGGGCGCAAACAGTATCAAGATCGAGATAGTTGTAGGCGAATCGTATATACCTTTTGATGATGCGCTTCATCGCCGTCTGGCTCTTTTTGAGTCTGACTGTCCGTTTCTTCTGATCTAGAATGTTGCCTTTCGTGAGCTGGATGGACTCCAGGTCCTCAGATATCTGCTGCTGTAGGTTTGTGAGAGCCATCTCGAAGACCACTTTGATACTCTCGATGGAATTGGTGAGGATCAAGTAATCCAAGTAGGCATAGAGGAAGTCACCGTCCAGACTAAAGTTTTTCATTGCCAAGTCAAACACTCTGTCAGCAATCTTTTTGTTATCGGAGTAGTACTCTGTCAAAGCATTCTCAACGTAGAACTCGTAGCCAAGGTCCTCAAAGTTCTTTCTTCGCTTGAACACAGCACGGACCTCCTTAATACCTTGCGTTCTTTTACTCAAGGCCATCAAATTTATATACGCTAAAGTGACAGATCTGCTCAGATCATCGAGTTTTGATTCGAGGTCGAGAATCTCGAGCGCCTCACTTTCAGAGAGCTTCACTTCAACATGACCGTTGTCAATCATATCATCATCACTATCATCCCCTTTTGGAGCTTGCTGACCATTCAATGCTTTCTCCTTGACTTTAGCGTTCAATGTCTCAAGACTCTGTTTGAGCGTGTCGTGGTGCTTGGAGAGATGTGTGATGAGGTTGCTTAATACCTCGGCGGCTTTATCGTGAGAGTTGTCCTTTTCGAGAAGTTCACTGAGTTGGAAAGCGACAAGAAAGCTTCCGGGGTTTAACTTGAAGCCCTCTGTCATCAAATCTATGCATCTTTGTCTGTTTGCTTCTTCGCTCTCAGATAACATGTACCTGTTGAAACGAAACCACATTTCAGGCACAAATGGGAGCGTGTAGGTGGCTTGCTTGAACACATATTCCACTCTTTGGCGTAACTCATGGTCTCTCAAGTTGAGGTGGTTCTTCTTTTCCAATTCCAACCATCTGAACCAGAGATCTATCTGTGCGGCTAAGACGCCGTTGTTGTCATCTTGTAGAGTCATCGGTATAGTTCTTCTTCTTAACAGGCCCTTGGTAGCATTTTTGTATTCTGTATTCCATGAACGTGCCTCCATATATGATGTAGAGAGATCAGCAATAAACTTACTGGCGCTGTTCGGCGTTGAAACGTCGTTTTCCCATTTTGTGTATTCGGCCCAGGTAGATTCAATCTTGGCGGCAGGAATAACAAGACATCTTTTGTACAAGCGACGGATGAGGTCGGTTTTTTGTAGTTGTTCCCACGACGAGGAAGGTGTCCAAGATTTGAAGAAATCGAGATAGTCCTTCCACAACTCAGCACTATCGACATCAATGCCGACCTTGTTGACAGCGAAGTCAAAGGCAGAAAGAACTGTAGTTCTGGCCTTTTCGCCACCTGTGATGACATCGTTGACTCGACGAACATATGAGACATATGTTCTACAGAGATCCACATCGTTGGTGATGGGAAGACATTTAGCAAAGATCTGTTCGACGTTGTTGAATTGTCCCCTATTAAGCTCAAAATTAACGTAGTTATTCCATTGGCGAGCATCGAAACGGAATATGGCGAAGTACTTGTCAAAAGTGGCTCTCACCTGTTCTTCCTTGTCTTTAGACACAACCTGCTCTATCAACTGAGCCCACTTCTTATAATCTAGAGGGTTCTGTTCCACGGCATCTTCAAGGCCACCGATCACGTCCAACAGTAATCGCTCTTTTTTCTCAGACATACCTCGTTGATTGTGGATGAGGTATGTGGTAGATGAGAATGCCCAGTAGTTTTTCGTGCGCATCAACATCAAGTACTAACAACCAGTGATGATATTAGAGCTCCATGTTTGGGGCGACAAGGAAATCTCAATCATAGAGCCCGAGTGTGTTGCAGCGGCATGGCTACTAAGCATTCACTTGGTTCCTCAAAAAGTCCAGTTCAAAATTGTGAAATCGAACAATACAAACCTAGCGGAGTCAGAACGGTTGCCGCTTCTAATAGCACCATGGGCCGACTCGTACCGTAAGGTCGAGGGATTCACTGAAATTGCTGACTATATCTCAACTCAATATCCGCTTGATTCAACGAAGTTTGTGCCAGACGGGAAGCTCACTTCCAAGGACCAACTAGTCAACTCATGTCTCCAGAGCTATATCAAGAAATCATTGCACAACGTGCACCAGTACAACTTGTACGTGAACACGAAAAACTACGAAAACTATACCAGAAAGTTGTTTCTGCACTATCTTCCGTTCCCCATGATGTATAATCAACCGTTGAAATTCCACCGGGACGCTTGCGAGCAGGTCAAGCTCATTGGGCTTGGTAACAACAAATCTAGCTTTTTCAGTTTTGGCGGCGGCGATGAAGATGACGTCGGTGACACCGAGTTGGTCAATGACGACGAAGAAGAGTCGACTGAGGTACCCATCAGTGCGTTGCACGAGAAAGTGCTTCTCGCTAAATCCAAAGACAAGTCACTCATGAGAGAAGCTAGAAACTCTTTCAAATGCATTGCTCTTTTCCACAGCTACATAAAGCATACCATCAAGCTTTTCGAGGAATTGAATCCGTCGCTGCCTGTGGAATATGCCCATCTTTTCAAAGCTAAGAAGGTGTCATCATCTGAGCTTCTCCTATATGCATACATCTATGCCATCACGTTCAGTGAATTACCTGATCAAAGCTTGACTGACCATATGAAAGCGGAGTTTCCAGCTTTCTCAACT